GGTGGGGGCAGCTGTTGATTTGAGGAATGGCCTGACGTGATCTGTGCATAGGATGGAGTGGGGTTTGGGTTAGCATCATGAGTAGGGTGGCTGTCTTTTACAACTAGTGACTTATCTCTAATATTATCTGACAAAAAATAATGATTACTAGTGGCAGGTTTCTTACGTCGTTGAAGGTCCTTATATACTGCACAACCTTTGTAACTAGCTGGGTGATTCCCTTGGCAGAGTGCGCATGATGGTGAAGTATCACGTGGATTTGGACAAGCGGATGATGGGTGGCCGGCGCCGCAGCGAACGCATCGTGGTGGGTAGCCACAGTACGTTTTTGTGTGACCGTAGTTTTGGCAATTTAGACATTGGCTTATAGTTTTAGCTTTGAACGGTTCTTCTACTTTGATTTTTGTGTGTAATAGATTTGTCAATTTGTATATATCTTTTGATTGGTTGCTGGGTTCTAGATCAACAAAAAAAAGTGGTAATGGGTGCTTATTTGTTTTGTGTAGAACATTGGTAATATTTCTAACTTCAAAATTATGAAATTCTAATTCAGATTTTATAAGACTAGTTGGCGTTGATGGATGTAGGTTGCGAATTACGACGCGGACGGGCTTATCTTGTTGAAGCTGATAGGTGTGGTATTCGGCTTTTTCTTCCTTTAAATACCGTATCAGTGACCTATATGCATCTGGAGTGCTAGTTTGAATTTTTAATCTGTCTGCAGATGATTTGCAGACAAAGTTTTCAACACCGATTAATTCTACAAGTACTGTGCATAGTTCTGGAAAATCCTCGACACCTCTTACAAAAATCGGAGGAGGGGGTTTAATTGGTGGATTATTAATACACTCTGTCTGCATGTCAGTAGTAATGTTTTCAGTAGAAACATTGAGCGGGGAATCGAATTGATCATTTAATTNAGAAACATTGAGCGGGAAATCGAATTGATCATTTAACTGATTGGATTGTTGGTCTTCGTTTGAAGCGAGGGCTTCATAACGATTTGCTGAAGTGAATATTTTTTTTCTTGTTTTGGGAGGTTGTACACGTGGAGAGTTTGGTTCTGAATTAGTAGAACTAGAGAGATTTCTTTTAGATCTTTGTACAGTCCATCCTGCTTCTGATTGATTATTACTTGTGTCTAGTGATGAGTTGAAGGTTTTATTTTTACTAATTGTTAACGGGGATACGCTGTTATTTGTTATACTAATATCATTATTATTATTCTTGTTGTTGATGTTATTTCTGCTAGTCATTTTAACTAGAATGTAATTATTATAATTAAATTACTAAATAAATGAAGTAACAATCACAATGCGATTGCAATAAAATAAATGAAGACGACGGTGGGATGCGATAACGTAATGTATTATTATTAATAATAAGGAGACCGCCGAGGCGGCCGCCGATAAGACCGTATGCACTTGGGCTGCTAATATTACAGCTAGATGACAATTACCGTTCGATATTTTACGTTTGTTGCTGTGCACGAGACTCTAGTTGAGAGTGAAAAATAAGTAGAGTGGTTACATAGACAAGTCACATCTTGATAACCGGTTTAGCAATAATAAACGAAAACACACGTTGTACGATAAGACAGTAACTTAGACCGCACTATACGCACATGCGTATCGAACGACGGCTATCGCGGAACTGATTCAATATTTTGAAAGAAAATACTCAATAAATTAAAATTCGTTTTTATTCCATTATACAAAAGAAAACATTGCTTCTGCTGCTGTTTTAACAATTTTAACGTAGTCTAAGAATGCATAACTTATTAAAATAAAAATCACAACGAGATATTTATTGTATCAATAGTTATAAGTGTTATCAATTAGACCTGGTTCAATCTATATTGTCATCAATCAGGGCTGTGTATTATATGTAATTATACATCTTTAAATGTTGATCTAAATGCACCATAATAAGCTAGTACAAATTTTTAATAATTGATTTAAAAATAAAACATGCTTTTAACGTAGCTCAAAACTGACAAAATATTTAATGAAGAAAATATTCGCTATATCATTAGTGTTTTAAATTATTTAATTCAATATTTAAATATTGTATTAAATTATTTAATTAAATCTGTTGTAATACTATGAAATTAATAGAACAAAACATATCTAATAATATATATATATTTTTTTCAATCCCAAGGTTGGTTTACAACAAGGTAACTAATATTAAGATAGTATTTTTATGATAAAATCGTATTAATCGATATTTTAATTTAGCTTATATAACTTTAAATCTAAGACAATAAATATTTTTTCGAGTATTTTTAATGAAAATATACGTATATTATATTCGCATAACCGCAATGTATTTTTCGTTATCATTAGGCGGCGGCAGATGTATTTATTAAATAGTAATTTTATGCGAGAGTTTTCAAATAGATGCCATATCTATTAATTATTGTAATAATCATTAAGATGGCGGTGACAGGCCATTGTCAACAAACAAATTACTGGGTCGTATACAACGCGTTCCATCGAGTAACATTTACTTGGTTGGGGAGGTAAGAAATAGACAACAGGGCGTTTGCGTATGGAGGTGAGGCACATCAAACCCGCGGACTCGACGCATACTTTGCACATATCTAAGAGTTTGCGCGTACCACTTCTGGAAAACTAATTTTTTTTTCTCACTCTTAGTAGCAAATATTTTTACATACACAGATGTCTGTGGCGGCGGTGATGAATAATACTAACCAAGGACCATTTGTGTTAGTTTAAGTTAGGTTTCACCACTTTCTCTCAATTTCACAGGGATGAAATCCCCAATATAATCCTACTGTAATAAATAAATATTTACAGTGTCAAACACTTTTTGTAGGTCCGTATAAATAATTTTTAATTATTATTTATAATTTAATTATAGTAATTAGATATTTTACTAGAGAATTTTTTACATATTGTACCAATTAAATAAATAATTATGATTATTAGTAGGGGATAGCAAAGAATTTTCGCTATTGAAAAACAACAAAAAAGTACACTAAAGTAACGACACTATAAGTGCGCTATTTCCAAGACTGTACAATATACATATAATTTATTTTATTATCACATCCTATTTTAAGTCACGAAATTTTTACAAAAATTATGACCTGTTTTACTATTAGTCAAATAGTAAAAAAATATAACTATTTATAATGTATAGTTGTTTGCGATCATTTTAAAACTAACATATTTTTAATAATTCAATTTTTTATATTTTATTGAAACCGTAATTTGTATAACTTAAAATAATTTTATTTTTATTGTTTTGCGGTTCTCAGAAGAGCTCTTGAATTTTAAAGCACATTAAATATCAAAAATGTTATAAATATAATGTTTGTCTCTACTAGAGGCTTAGATATTATGATAGAAACCTAGAAAATGTAAAATTATAATAATATAGATAAGAAAATTAATTTAATAAATTGCATTCTAAGCTTTATTAGTTTATTTTCAATAAATAATTATGATATTTAACAATTATACACCATTATTATTTTCATTTTCATATTTATCATTTTCACAGGGAAATTCGAACAATTCTACATTTACATCAAATGGAAGACACTGAAAAAAAAATATTCTAATCTGAAAATAATCTAATATAATAGGGACCTAGCAAAGTTAGAACAGAGCATAGTTTAAACCATATTAATTGAAATTCGACAGTGATTTAAATAACTATCTTAAACCAATTGGATATATAAAACCCACCAAATATGCCTGTACTAAAGATAGGACTGAGTTTTGTTTCACTGTTGCTAAAATAAAAAAAAAATTACTTCTGGATGTACTTTGAGATAATTTATTAATTTTGCGGCACAAATTTTGCTTTTACTCGGACAGTCAATATCGTTAGGATACCAATCACATATATCTTTTACAAATTTTTGAATGTAATCAACCAGAGTTATTTTATTCATTTTGAGTAATTTAATGTAATCGAAATTTCTGTAAATTAAACCTTCGGAAAAATGGCCTGCAATTATTTCAAAGATCATTAAATATTTAATAAAAATTAAAATTAAAGTACTACAAGGAATCATTAAAAAGTATGTTCAAACAAACATACTTGTCTTAAAATAACCATTAAAAATTCTATTTTGATCTAAGCACTTTCAATTTTATGTAAAAATACATATATATATATATATATATGTGTGTGTGTGTGTGTGTATTTTTATATATCCATCAAAAGTTACATGATTATCGACTTAGAGGCCGATTACTAATAGAAGATAAGTAATTAGAACATTTTTATAAAAAAAATAATTTTTCTAATCATACAGTACTTAAAAAAACTTAAAATTCGATTTAACTTTGAATTTTGTAGATTTCCTATTGCTATACAAAATTTTTACCAAAAATTGTATGATTTTTTAATTTTAATCGCGATAACTCCTAGAAATCAGTATTTTGGATAAATTTTCTTTTTCATCTAAAAGTATGTTGTACTAACTTTAATTTGATAAAGGTTAAAAGAAGGTAGGTTTTTTAGAACACTATACAAAATTATAAAGAAAAAATCTTGATATGATTTTTAAGCCTCCATAGTATCTTGGTTGATTGGATTAAAAAAAAATTATCGTCAGCAAATATTAAAAAAATATTATCAATAAACATTTTGCAATAATCAGTCCAGTTTACAAAAAATTGACACTTTTATAACAACCGTAATTTTTGGGAAAATTTTACTTAATAACATTATGTATAACATTTACCAGTGTCAGATAAAAAAGAGGAAGAAAGTTTTTGATTGATAAGACATTCTTTTATAGCACTTCTAGCATCGTTAAAATTTGTTAAATCACCTCCATTAAACTTATTATTAGCTGATATAATGTATATAAATTCCTGTAAATAATAAATATAAATTTATTTATATAACATAGATTAATAATGTTAAATTATTTAGCTACGATGCAATGATATTCATTTTACCATGATGTATTTATTTATTTTTATTTTTTCATCTGTTACCACTTGTTCTCACTAGCTCTTACTGGACCGATTTTTTTCAACGGTATATCAAAAGATCACAAATCATATTTAGTTGAAGACATTACCTTCAAAAATTGAAAAATTTTCTCTCGTAAATAGTAAAATCATCCAAAAAAATTACGATTTTTAAAATTGATAAATTTCAACATTTTTTCACTTTTAAAAAAATTGCCATAACTTATTTAAAAATGAACAAATCAAAATAATTTTTTTTATATTGAAATTTTAAATAATTCCGTTTTATTTGATATAATATTTTTGAAAACTTTACCCTTTACCTGCCCACAGGAAGGGGATTTAAAAAGCAACTTTTTTACAAAACTTAATTATTTCAACTGAAGTTTTAACAGTGTTCCGGCAATACTGCGTTCATAAAACATGCAAATTAAAGCTTATGTTATGTACTATAAATTAAAAAAAAATTGTCACGACCACTTATCTTCTACGTGCTAAGAGCTTCCGTAATTAAAAAAACATTTTTGTGTTCAATTATTTTTTTTTTTTTAAATACCTAAGGTATTTTATAAGTACTCATTATTATGTTAACTCTTATATAAGGGATTGTCATGGTAATAATTCCACCAATAAATATAAAATTTAAATGAATCTAGCTTACATTATATATAAATTTATACATATTTTGATTATTTTGCCTCTTCAAATTTTTATCTTTGATAAAAAAAGGTTTTTTTGAATTTTTTAAAACTTGAGTTTATTTTATGTACTAGAAGTTAAAAAAAAAAACCAGCACAGTAGGATCGCGGCTTAGTGAGGACATGGCATAGTTGGGTCCAGTATAAATGATATCTGACAATGATATGATCATAGTAAAATAATACCTTCTTAGCTTCGCATTGAGGCTAAATATAATTTTAACGCAGTCTAAGATTATATAAATTATATTTTAACAAATCACAAAGAAATGTTAATTGTATCAAAATTTATCAAGATGTAGGTTACATCTGGTGTTCTGTTTTTTCATCACAGTTCACAACTAAATTCATAAATAGCTTATTAAGATAAATATGTAATGTTTCTTACCATTATACTTAATAATTTTAATGATACAATCTTCATTTTTTCACTCTAAAAAAAATATATTAACATCTATTATGAAAACTTGTATAATAGAAACAAGCAATTTTTAGTTGCTCGAGAAAAACATTTAATTTATTTTTCTAATTGTCAAACTACTATTAAATATACACCATCAATATTATTAACATGATTTAAATGTCCCCAAGTAGTAGTCTAGTTTTTATTTCGAATAACACTGAAATCACGATACTATCGTATGTATAATTTTTCAAATAACTTAAGTAGAAAACACTATATAAGTTATTTGAAAAATTACAAGATATATAAATAAAAGATGTGTGTGCTTAGACTTAATGTTTTATTAATTGTACAGTGTACAATTAATATAAATAAGGGTGGTCCTTATTTAACGAATTTCGAATTTACTTTCAGGACACCTTCCATTTTTTTCTTTAGTATAAAAAAATAATACTCTGAAAATAAATATCATTTGAAAAAATTTAAAACGAGGCACACGGTGTTTTTAGTTTTTGACCTAGAATTTTCTATAAAACGATAAAAAAAAATCTATATTAGAGGTTTTCAAATGATTTTTTCAATAAAAGTCAAGAAACCTCATGTAAAAAAAAATATTTTCATATATTATTTTTAAATATTTATTGAATTTTTTACACGTGATAACAATATATTGATAAAACAAAAATAATTAAACAGCTTATTTTTTATATATTGTTACATTAAAAGTTTCAACGCCTCATTACAAACTTTTCAAATTTTTGTAGTAATTTTAATATAAATAACTTGTCGTAACACAGAAAAGAGAAAAGGCAAAAGCTGGAAATGAGTGAATGTGTAAAATGTGCAACTGTGTGTACGAAGATGAATATGAGGAGGTGGTGCCTGCTGTATAGGTATTCACGTGCGTGTTGTCGTACAGCAGTCACCGTGCTCGGCTGACACTCCGGGTTAGCTGTGGGTGTCGAAAGGCTGTTGTTATAGGAAGGGAGAATAAGAGTAACACCTAGGTATGAGGTGCAGACGAAGTGCAAGACACAAATACCAGGTGTACGCAAAAGGAGCCCAAAGTATGAGGTGCAGACGAAGTGCAAGACACAAATACTTGGGGTATAGGAGAGGACAATGAAGTACGAGGTGCAGACGAAGTGCAAGACACAAGTACTTCAGAGAGAGAACGGGGTAGCCGAGTATAAGGTGCAGACGAAGTGCAAGACACAAATACTAGGCGTACCAGGTGAGGAAAGATAACAGAGTACGAGGTGCAGACGAAGTGCAAGACACAAGTACTCTGAAATGTCGAGGAAAAGAGTATATAGGTTAGAAAAGGAATGAACAAAGACTTTACTTTAAACAGTAAGCCGGACAGCGACAACCGAGTACTGAGACTGATGAATGACACAAGGCACTGGAGTCGACTGACCACGATGGTCAGGTCTATTGGGTTTTTATAATAATTACACCTATTGCCGATTTGGCAATAAATATTATTTGTTAATTCACCAGTCTCAGGCAGCGGATGTGCTGTCTGTATTAAAATAATTCTCACGATTATGAAAACGTGACACCATCACATACTTAAGTTATTAAGTTGAATTCTATAGCATTTAACTAGTATTAGTTCAAACAAATTATAAAAAATTTAATTAAATTTAAAAAAAGCTTTAATGTTGTACAGCATTTAATAATATTTTAAATAATTAAAAACACTTATCTATGGAACATTAAATATCTAATCACCTTAAAAATTATTTTTGCTCTTTTGTTAAGATTCGCACCAATATTTTGTAGTTTATTGTATTCTATTTCATCATTTTATATCAGAATTAAATTTATAGGAATTTGAACAGCTTATTTTAATTTTGTGTTTATCGATTCAAGTGTATTAATACAAACATGTAAAATAATATTCACATTATTTATTAAAAATAACTTACTAAAGTCAAAATGTAAACTTACTGATATTTAAAAAAATATTAATTATTAAATACAAGTATAATTTACTTTATTTTAAGGTCGATGCGAAGCTGAATATGTATCATTAATAACTAAGGTGATCAGTAATGATCACATAGTTATTTAAATTTATTAATTATTATAAATATATATTATAATTATGATTTAAAATTCCACAAAATTAAAGCTTATTTATATAAGCTATACATACAGAGTGATTTGCTTATCATGAACCACTTAATTAATCATTTAATTGTCTAATATAGTCTCAATTTATGTCTCAATAGACATAAATGTCTATTGAGTGATTTACTAAAAAAAAAATGCATCATCATATTAAAATTAAACAATAATTTTAACTAATATAAATTTCTCTTTAAAAATAATATGTAATGAAAAAAACAGTACTTATAAATACCAATGCGAAGATGAAAAATAAATCAAAGATTAAAATATTATTTACAAACTATTAAATATTACTAATAAATTTATTTTGAAGCATGTATAGAATAAAATTATTTGGTATATTCACAATTAAAATCTTTAGAATTCACGAACCAATAAATTTAAGGAATATAAAAAAAGTATACCTAAAACATATACAATCACAATAATAATAAGGTACATTAAAAACATGAGCGTCGATTTAAAAAAAAAAAATTCCTATCTCTCATTTCACCCTCTAGAAATAGTATAAATTTTATTTTTTTTAAATGAAAATATATATTTAAAACCAGTTTACAAGTACGAATATGATCCAATTTATTTAATTCAATTAGGAAAATTACTGGCCAATAGCAACTTTTGAACTAGTATTTTATAAGATATTAGCACTTTTAATTAGTACGTAAGGAGTAGTGCAGTTCATATATGTCTAAAGATATAAATAAACAGACCTGCGCTTCACTTTCATTCTTTATAGTATCAATTACTTTCAAAATACTAGTTTAAAAGTTGTTAACAAAAAACCCAGCACAGAGAGGTCGCGGCACAGTGGTGACGTGGCATAGATGGATCAAGTATAATGATATCTGACAGTGATTAAAATCACTATAAAAAAAAAACGCTTCGATGCAAATCTTTAGATAGTGTTTAATTTTAAAAAATTGGTGGATTATTCCAAAAGCTACATGATCTGCTAGTTCATTATTAATATCCTAATTAAGATAAAGTATGTCGAATTAAAAAGGGATTATTAAAAAATATTATTTCTCATAAAAAAATAATGTTGATCCATACACTTTTCAATATGTCAATAGCATTATAAAGTTAAAAATGTAAAAAATAAAATCGAGAATTTTCACACAATAATAGCATTTGGTAGCCATTTTCACCGTGAAGATAAAATAAAGTCCGAAATTTTTTTTTTCCATAATAAAGTATAATACATTACCTTTAATTTAAGATATATATAAAAGTGTCAGACTTTCCGGAACACTTTCAAAATTTAAGTTGAAAAAGTAAATTTTTTATGAAAAAGTTGTCATTTTGAATCCCCCCCTGTAGACAGGTAAAGGGTCAGATATAAAAAAAAAATATACCAAATGATAAGTAAAGACATCATTCATCTANTATGAGTTTATATTAGTTAATATAAGTTTCTATTTCAAAAAAAAAGTTGTAAATTATAAGGGGATAGGGGAATAGGGAGAAATTTTGTTTGAAAGTTATAGAACGCATGATACTATTAACTTTTGAAAAGAAAAAATTGTAATTTATTTTATTATTTTCAAAAATATTGCATTAGTCAAAGTTAAACTAACAATAACATTGGTAATTTAATTTTTTTTTAAATTCTTTGTTTTAAATTTTCAATTATTTTATATTTTTAATAAGTTGTTTATAAAGTTAGTATCTAAATAATGTTTGATATTGTTATTACATTTAATACAAACAGTGGCGTAACCAGAATTTTAAAATGGGGGGAGATAGTAGAAAAATAAACAAAATTCCATATTTTGAATATTTTTTTTTGCTCATCATTTCATTTTAGACATTTTTGAAAAAATAAAAAAACAACGTATTTTTATTAACTCGGCAAAATAAATATATTACCAAAATTGTTTTGAAAGCTGAAAATGTGTTAAAATATTCTCAACAGTCTATTTTTTTTTAACTATTTTTTACACCTTCGTGGTTTAACAATTGTCTTAACAATCTTTGAACGAATTCAACCCCGTTTAGGTTATAAATATTATTCTGTATTTAACTACATCATAATACAGTCTGTCACTATTTTTTTCTCAATTTTAGCTTTTCGATAAACTTACTAGTGGTTAATCATGATTTATGATGGCGAAAAACTTTCGGCCAAATGATCTTATAAGGGAAAATTGTCTTTTTGGACCCATTATTGTATTAGACATACTCTTGTCAGTCGACCCCACATAAAAGACGTATACAACGGTGTACTACGACACAGATACACTAAATCTCTAGATACTGTCCTTTGGACTGCAATACTCGAATAACTTGATTTACCACTGNCTCTTGTCAGTCGACCCCACATAAAAGACGTATACAACGGTGTACTACGACACAGATACACTAAATCTCTAGATACTGTCCTCTAGACTGCAATACTCGAATAACTTGATTTACCACAGTAATTCACAAATTATATCATTTAATCCGAAAAATTATGAAGGGGGAAATTGTATGATTTATTTTAGTGGTCATAACTTATAAATTATGACCGAGTGACATGCCCTCAAAATATTTTTCGATTAAATATAATTTACTAAAATGATTTTACAAATGGTTACAAATTAATAAATTATATCGGTAATTCGATGTCTAAAAAATAATACAAAAAAACATTCCTTGATATTACTACAGTGATGACAATTGGAAATTATATGAAGAAAATTATTGTATTATTTTTCAAGTTTTGACATCAACAGAGTTGATTTTAGACAAGTCAAAATTAATATGAAGTTCGACTCAGAATGTAATAGAAAGACTAATAATTGAATTTTTTTACATTACTTCTTAAGTAAATTAAATTATTTTGAAAATAATTTTAGTTTTTTAAAACAAAAAATCTGCTAACAGTTGAAAATATTAAAATTTAACGTATATACAAATAGATTAAAACAATTTCTATTAGAAATTATTACATTATATTATAAATAATAAAATAATGAATAAAAGTATTGTGAGTTTATTTTTCTTGCATGAATTTTAGGTTCATAGAATCATATTTTTGAAGTTTTTCTTTATCATAATAACGCTAAAAATATATATATAAAGAACATTTTAAATTTTGAGTATGCTCCTTGCTAAAAATCAATAAATAATGTAAGATAAATGTGTTTGTTTTAATACTTCTGTGAAATACACATAATTACTACTAAAATAAACTTGTAATATTTTTACAAATACAATTTTTATGTTGTCATCACCAAATTTATCTAATGAACTTAGGAGCTGATATGTATTTACTTCACTAACGAATTCTACAATTTTTATTTTTTTGACAATCATAAAATAAGTTAATATATTCATTCTCTTACAATTGAAAAAAAAAGAAAAATCTTTATTAATTTAAAAAAAAAAAAATGAATTTTATTTTTACTAAATCATTATGAGCATTTTTGTCTTTTTCTCTAAAAAAGATAACTAATAAAAATTAAGTATTTTACCCTTAAGATTGAAAAAAGGAATATCAGTTTAATATAATTCATTTTAAACAGAACAGACACTATTTCAACAAGTTTTTACCACCATCACTTTCAAGAGTAAAAGGTTCCTGTGTTCCTAATTGATTTTTTAAAACGAATGGAATAGAATAACTGCAAACAGTAAATTCCCTAAAAAATTTTATGAGATTCATAAAATGTTTAATCCTAAGCTCTGTAAATTAATTTATTTTTAATAATAACTTAAATAATGGAATAGTTATTTAATAACATAATAAATACTATGGTTTTTACAAACATATAAATCGCTGCAGTACTCTACAAGTTTATTTTTAAAGTGTTTTGATTAATCCATAAAATATTTTGTGATTATTTTAATAAAGTATAAATTAATTTTTTTTAAACGCGTTTACTATCGTAGAATAATTTTTTTAGATTTCACTTTGTTTTCATTTTATTAAAAATGTACACCAATTAATTAATTTTAGCCAAAATAAAGTATATATTTGTTTGGTAACACTTTATTAAGCAATTACCTTATTTTGTAGGTATTTTTTGTATTTTAATATACAAGGTTTTATTGGTTTTTATACTATCACTTATGTAAAATATATATTATGTATAGATAAGAAATATTTTTAACACTTAATTTAAAATTATATGTTGATCATATAATAACTATAATACATTTCTACAATAGTAGAAATAAAAAATTAATTAATTAAAAAAGTTTATAACGGCTTAGATTAAAGGTAATGGTGCAACTGATAGAGAAATTAACTAAAAATACGACCTTTTTGACTGCCCAAAAAAGGCAAAACAATTGAAAAATACAGCATTTAAGCTTAAAAGGCCCTTGAGATCGAGTTACGCCACTTTTAAAGTTGTACTTCTTCTCATTCCATTTAGTTGTTAGCCGATACAATGTTATTTGCTCAATAAATTCTATAATAATTTTATTGTAATTTAAAAGTGAAAATAAAAAATATCAATACGATCGAATTCATAATATCCCGAAAAATAATATTAAATATTATTTCTGGCATTATTATGAATAAATGTTGTCCATAATTAATAAAAAAAAACATATTTATACGAAAAAATCCTTTTTTCTTTATACTAAAATATTCATTTTTATTATGTAATCAATTATGTGTCATTACTTATAAACAAACAGTGTTTTCAGGTTTCTAGCAAGTTCAACTACACAAATACACCTCAAACAAAAACATGAACTTGATCAATAATGTTTTTGTACGAAAATAGGGTGCTCTCGTTTGGCCGTATATTATTGTGTATACTCAGAGTTAGTAAGCGGCTAAGAGGTAAAGCTCATCATTTTCGCTGTAATTCATTTCTGTCCCTCGTACAAGAGAACGCGTCCGAATTTCCCAAAGGTGCCCTATTTGAACTGTATAGACAACGAGAGCACAGCAACATGACAATACCACATAACCCAACCGTTCATAAGCCACTCGATCAACTGATTCTATTACTCGCAATTCGATTTTCACTGTACACACTAGCCCATTTATTTATGTCCGACCCTGCCATATGTGCCCAATGTTTTGATGGGCAAGACTCTTTATTACATCACATTATGATTGTTGCCGTTGTGGATCGTCATGTTCCTATCGCGTAAATATCAAAGTTTGCAACGTTGTTAACGACACTATAATAAATCACACTTTTTAATGACGAGTAACAATAAAATTGAAAGTGGATAATTTTTCTGCGATTTCCCGAACACAGAGGAGTCGTGCAAACGTGGGCCACATTCGTTCCAAGACGATTGGACACGGCCGGTAACGGCAGCTCTCTCGGTGTTATCGTGTGGGTACAAGAAGTCAAATACCGGACCCTTGCCGTCGAACCGGTAGGAGTAGCAGCGCCGGGCGGATCCCGCTGGGAGCTGGACGTCCGTCGCTGATTGATTCTTCGCTGGCTATGCCATCATGGAACTTTTCACTGTGCGTCCCCGTTCTAAGTGATTACTCGAAGAGCTGGCTGTCGTTGCTCTTTGTCCGCCAACAATCGACCTCTGACCCTGCAACAGCAACCGCTCGGTCCAACTACACCACCACCACTACATTATACGCATCGGCGCGATAATCATGCAACAGTTATAATAATAATGGTCAATCGTTGGTTGTCGACGATGGCGCACAAATCGCGTCTGCACCGTCGCACACAGCAGACCTATTAATAACCGATGCTGTTAGTAATTTGTTTTTCTCCCGCGTATGGCCGTCATTATAACGACGACGGCTGAATGATCTCCTGCGGAGAAGAGGTTCATTCCGATGTATTACACACCGGTCACGATTGGCCGGCGCCATCAATCAAACAAGCAACGTTACATTGCTGCGTACCGGCGGCGATCTCCGGTCGTTGTTCAGTATGGACAAAAATTACAAAATGCATATCATACAACGTCTAACTAGACGACAGTGTGAACGGAAGTCACTTTGGAAGAGGAACTGTTAGTCAAACACTAGTCTATACTTTTTTCTGCTAATCGTTTATACCTATTGTATACACGTGCTTATAATAGTTTTAACCATATTTGGTAGCTGTATTCAACTTGTGTAATAAAAATTTATCACTTGTGGCTATATTATTTAAAATTAAAATTATAATAAAAATATTTTTTAGTTTTAAATTAGTATTTAGCTTTTTTGAAATACTCATAAATCGCAAAAATAAATTTAATTCCATCCGTAACGGACACTTAAAATTGTTATTAAAACAAATAATTGCCAAGTATAAATAAGAAAAAGAAAATTATTATATTAGTCAATAATTCTCGTAAATCCCATAATTATTAAAATGTTAACTATTAACTAAAAATGATTAGTGTCTTGATGGTACTAAGTTTTAATTGAAATAATAATCGTCTCTGTCGTAGAAAATGTGAACAACTGATTATTGTATTATTTGTTTTTTATAACAACAATATAAAATAGAATATCTTATTTAATGACTAAAAATGAACTAAAGATATGAAAATATTCATAAGTAATGAATAATATATTATTACTAGGTCCGTCCTTACGAACAGATTACACATTTCAGGAGTACTCGGCTACGTCAAACATTAATTATTATTTAATCAATATTTTTATTAATAACATTTATTTTTTATTTTTTTGAACTAAAAAATTAAAAAAAAAAAAATGACAAAATCATTTGGCCACTTGCACAAAGACGATATTTTTATGTTATTACACAATTATTTCATTTAATCTTGTAGAAAGTTTTTAAAATTTAGCATACATTTTTATCAAACTGGTTTGATGTATACTACAGTGGCGAGGGTTAAAACTATATACAAAACAAATGTTTACAATACTTCCTGAATTGTATCTTAAATACTTAATAGTTACGTATTTATAGAAATAATAATTATTTTCGTCATTGGGATTTCAGTCACTATCCTATTTCCCAGAGCACTAGATTTTGAAATAATGAATATTAGTTAGACTTATCTGAATCATTTGCTTACAGCTATTAAAGAACTAAATCCTAGTGCAACTGTAAGCTACGATCTTTTAACAATTTAAGACTGAAAGTAACTAAACAGTTTCCATAATAAGAAACTATGATGCAGATCAATGAATACATACTTGAAAACATCAAGAAGGAGTTATAGATGGATACATAAAAAAAAAAAGTCATAAAAAATATCACGATGTCGTTTTTAGTCATTTTTAATTATTCAGCACCAAAGAATCAATAATCAATTAAACAAGTTTAAAAATTAATATTTTTGTTCTAACTAACAATAACATTTATGTTTTATTATCAAATTATTATACTTTTACTATAATTTTTTAATGGATAATATATTATTATTAATAATAGCATTAGTTTACTCAGTATATTAATAACTAAAAGGCATTTCATTTATTTACATTGTGCATGTGATATATAAAATGTACAATATCAATTCATTATATTTCGTTTTAATAAATATATATATGTATATGTAAATATTTTATTTATACACATAGATAGAAATAGAATAAAAATTTTAGATGGCTAAAGGTGTATTTAATATTTTACCACTATCTTACAATATTTTTTATACATCAATATATTTAATTTTCTAAGTTTTTCAGAGAAATTACTCACCTATTTCCGCCGATGTTTACATATTTAGCTTAAATGTTTCATCTCATAATTTTTAGGCTAATATTTGTGTATACAAATGAAAATATTTCTTGAATAAAATTATGTTAAAAAACTTTCAATAATTTATCATTTGTCTAAATATTTAGAAAAGAAATTTAAAAAATAAAAATAATAAGGATACACAAAACATTTTATTGTTCATATAAAATCTTAAAAACATACATTATAACCATCTATTTACATGTTTTAATTCCAGTAATATTAAAAAAAATTAAAAGAACTTTTTTTAATAAAATATTAAAATTATAGAATAATTTAATTTATATAAAAATAGAATGTATTAACAATTCCTCATAAAAAAGCCCAGATCAAATTTGATTAACTATTCTCAACAACTATACCAACATCTGAATTTGATGAATCATCAATAGTTATTGTTTGAATAGGGCTCAGAGATCTTTTTTTATTCACATGTGTATTAAATCGTTTTTTTGGAGATAATAGAATTGGGGTAATCCTTTTTTTACCTCCTACTATATTAATTTTTTGTTCTTCTTTCTTTAAATCAATGACTGGTGATTTTGAAGTTAATTTTGAACTGAATAGATTTTTTGGACAAAACTTTTCTTTATTCTCAATTATATTATCATCATCTAATTTTTCTTTAGGCCTAAAACATTAGGTATAATTAATTTAATAATTCTAACCTAAAAGAAAGCTCTATAATTAAAATTTTATGAAAAATTATTTTTTACCGATTTCGATTATACTAGTAAATGTTTTTATCTACTCAATCCTTCAGTTATTACCAATGTTAATTGTATATTTTTTAAATACAAAACTATTAATAAGAATTTTCTCCAATTGAGCTATTTAAAAAAAAATATATTACTTTTCAGAAGAATTCAAACATTGTTTTTCCGTTTGAGAAGTCATAAAACTAGTTATCTTGAGAATAGATTTTGTTGTAGACTTAGTAGATGATTTAGGTGTTTCACTGTAAATTGTTTTATTCAGTACTTCAGAGTATTCAAGTCCATACTTATCAAAATATTCTTTCGTAATATTCCTATATATTTACATGAAAGAAAATTTATTAAAATATATACATACAATTTAGTCATCAATTTACAATTTAGTTGATTACCATGGACCGGAATTACTAGATTTTTTAGCAATTTCTTTTATAGATCGTCGAATTATAGGAATGCTAATAAAATTTTCATCAATATCAGTCTGAGTTTTTGAGAGCTCTTCCATAAATTGATTAGCAAGTAGTTTTAAACCAATACTGTTTCCATGAACATGTTTTATTAAGTTAGGAATGACTAAAAATTATTATTTTTTTTAAGTTTGTTAAATTTTATGTTTTTTTTTTAAAAAGTTGCCACAATTTTTTAATTTAAAATTATTAGACTTTCTAGACATTTTTTAGGGGGAAGGCAAAACACAAAAAAGTCCTTTAAATAAACCCCTTACTTAATATAACAACTTAATACCGTGATTAATAGTTGAATACAAAAATGTATAAGTAAACACATGAAAATAGTTGAGTATTATCTTAAAATTATAAAATTTCACATATTCTATGTTATTAAATTATAATACTTAAATGTTTAAATTAATTGTTTAATTATTAATCAATAAGGTAAATTATTATAACTATAATTAAAGTTTGACAGAAATTCACTATACCAGAAAATTTCCAAAGGGAACAATTACACTCTGGGCCATTAGGGATGAGAACCACTTTGTAAAATTGATTTTTATCTTTTTTTTTTTACTTAATTCTTTTTATAAAGCTATAAAAATATTTTTCGAGCAAGCTGGGCTGCTTTTGTGTTTTGTTAAAATTCCAGGTACTCTAATAAAATTCCCGAACTAAAATAAAATCTCCTTGATTTTCTCAGTTTTTCAGATTTGTGGCAACTCTGTAATATTGTTTAAACTCACTTGAATCAGGAAGTAACATTTTTTTCTTAACCTCAGAACTTGTATTTAAATGTTTTGGAGAATCTTCTACTATAGGAGCTCTTGTTATAATAGGTTCTTCGTCACCCCAAACACTACGATACTTCAATAAAGTATCAGCAACAGATTTACTTACTAGAATATAATACAAAAAATAAGTATTTAGATAATGAACTTATTTTATGTTAGTCAAATAAATTACCATTTTCTGGATTTGTTACATTATTCGGAATCCACACACATCCAACTAAACGTGGCTTAATACGTTCAGTTTTTTTTTTAATTTCAGCTTCAAATTCTTTACCAAGCATTTTTAATTTCTCTTGTTGCGCTTCTTCAGTCTAAACAAAATTATTCTCATTAAAATTAATAATATTTTTAACTTGATGGATAAAAAATTTACAGTATCATCATTGTCTTGACCCTCTTCATCACTTAAATAACCATGAGGCACAAATAAGTCATTATCCACTTCATAATCATCTTCAGATTCTTTTTCATCATCAGAACCATGTAAACTTTCACCGGGGTCTTCTTCTTCCCACTCATCATCAGAGTCTACTTCATAATCAAACATAATCTAAAAAAAGAAACACCATAATTGGTATACTATTGATAACAAGCTTGAATATATTAGTGTAGAACAAATAGTAAATATAAAATTACTTTATCACAAGAGAAAGGTTTTCTTGGTTTTACATAAAGACTTTTTTTTCTCCATGTACCCCAATAGGGTGGTCTTTTATTTTCAGTAAACTGCAATAATTTCCATCGAAACCGAGATTTAGCATTTTTTGTCAATTCAACAGAATTTATTTCTGCCTCTTGGTTTTCACCAGTTTCTACATGTGTAATATTTTGGATTGTTTTATTTACTTGAATGCCTAAGTTCAACTATTTTGTGAATATTACAGTAAAATACTTACCAATTATAACAACATCTGCATCATTTTCACTTGAATATGGCCAAGTAGATTCAGACTTACATGATATATAGTTTCCATTTTTTAACAGTTGCAAGTATAACTTTTCGGATAAATTTTCTGATTGACTAAGATATTTATCTAAAGCTTGTTTTCTTTTAGCATCTATAACACTTCTGCATGTAGGAGCGATTCTCATATCTGGTTTAGTCTAAAAAATTGTTTTAACTGGTTATAATAAAAAAGAAAATTAATAATAATAATAAATTTTCAAATAAAATCAGTACTTGAAAAGGCATAAAATAATAATTTTCATCTTGAACACTATTTTCAAACTCTTTTTTTATGCTACTAGAATTTGAGTTTTTAGGTTTGAAAAATCCAACAAATGCTGCTTTAACTTTTTCACTTTTTTCTTTTTCCATTTTTTCCTTAAGCAATTTTTCTTCCTTTTCTAATTCTTTCGCTTTTCTTTCATCTTCTTTTTGTTTTTTTTCTCTTTCTTTTTCTAATTCTTTAGCTTTTCTTTCTTCTTCTTTTTTTTTTTTTTCTAGTTCTTTAGCTTTTTTTTCTTCTTCTTTTTGCTTTTTTTCATTTTCCTTTTCTAGATCTCTTTGTCTTTTAGCTCTAAAAAAGATAAATATTTATAAATTGTTAAAAAACAATATATTAAACAATGCATACTCGGCCTCAGCTTGTTTTTTTTGTTCTTTCTCCCATTGCTTAAGACGTAATTTTTCTTGTTGTTCTTTAAGTTTCTCTTCACGGGCTCTTTCTTTTTCCTTAAGAAAATAAAAATAAAATTCATAACCTAAATGTAATAAAAAACCATCAAAAGTAGGCATACTTCTTTTAATTTAAGACGTTCTTCCTGTTTTTTTGTAGATTCTAATTTTTTGGCTAACTGTTTGGGTGTCAATTTTTTTGAACCTGGTGTTGTTACTGTTGTCTTAGAACTCTCAGGTGTTATGTTCAATGATTTATTTTTTTGATAACTATCTGGACTCTTTAAGTCTGAAATTTTTTCATTTTCTTCATCTATAATAACATAATTCTTTGTTGATTCTAAAGAATCTTTTACTTCAATCACCTCATTACAATTGACATAACTTTTTTCACTTGAACTACTATCATCAACTATGACAATTTCTTTAGGTTGTTTCTATAAAATATAAATAGGAGTCATGAGTTATAGTGAATAATTCATTGTTTAGCTATATATTAGTAAAATTGATTTTATTAACTAAATAAATGAAACATTTAAAATATAAATAATATTAGCCACAAGTGATGAATTCTTATTATAGAAACAATTTAAGTTTAATTAGATAGTTCAACACAAGGACACTATGAAATAATTTTAAGTACCAGATATATTCATTTATTTTTTATAAACTGTCACAAAATTGTTTGAATGTCATTATCATTGACTGAATAGTTTTAGCTATATAACTAGCAAATCAAATTTTTGATAGTTTTCAATAAAATCAAATTAGCATAAATTAATACTCATAACTATCTATCAAACTATCACATGAAACATTCAGTAGTTTTTATTTGAATAAAAATTACCATACATTTTACTTGATAGTTTGGTAATCAAAAGTATTTAGTTATAAACATTTTCATCCAAATAAGATAATTATTATTTTATTTTACTTTTTTAATCCACATAGTATTATGTTGAATGGTTAGTAATATTATTTAAGGTAATAATTTGACAGTTGATAATTGATTGTTTGATAACTAAATACTATTGAAAAGCAATAGATTCTTTTAAGAAATTTTTGAAAATAATAGGATGAATAAATAGTTTAATACTATTGAATAGTTTGTTAGTGTTCATTCGGTTGTGCACACCACTATTGTTATTCCTTTCAACAACTACAAAATTAATTATGAGCTAGTTAAACCTTATACAGATAAAATAAAAAAGGTTAAGTAACTTATTATTATTATTGACAATTTTAAATTATTCACTCTTGATCTAACCTAGATATATGAAATATTACAATTCGTAAATTTATTTTAAAAACTAAGAAATCTACACTAATATTTTCATATCTTTCTTAGATTAATAAATATTTATAGAGTAACATACTTAAAATTTATAAATGGAGAAATAAATATTTAGTGAACTGTTTAAGGTGATTTTTACTTAAAACGTTACTTTAGCATGGCTAATAGAGATTTAGACTTTATAAAACCTCTAGATGTACAAATTTAAATAATTGAAAAAATTCAATAAATTTAGAAATGCTTTTAACATTAAAAATCAATTACATTGGTTTTTCAAAACTATCTTACAGACCAATAGAAAAGTTACATTTTCAATTAATTTTCAAGTATAAAACTAAAATAAACCTATAATTTATAAAAGTAGGTTTAAACCTACAAAAAATATTTATTTTCAAATTTATTAAACATAAACATATTATCAAAATAAATATATAGATAAATTAATCAATATTAATGGGTTAAAGCAGAAATGTTAAAAAATATTTAGTGAGGTTTGTCGTTTAATTCAAAAGAATCAATATTTACTTTTCTACTAAGAATTTTCCATCTCATTTATTAATTTTGAAATTTTAATACTTTAATTAAAGTTAAAATAATTATTATACTCTCTAAGAAATTATTAAGAAATAATAAAAATAATTTTAAAAAATGTGATTTAAATGAAAAAATGCATAAATAAATGAAAAAAATAAATGAAAAAAATAATTTAAAATTTTCGTTCATACGAAATTAAGTAAGTTATCAAAACACTAGCAATAAAAATAAACAATTCAAAAGGGAATTTAATAAAACGCATCAATAAATAAAATTCTTAATGATAGAAAAATTATAAATTCTACCTCGGATTCTTTTTCATCATTTTCATCTGATTTAATAAAACATTTAGTGCCTCCATTAAGTAACTCAACTTTAGGGTTTTCAACTCTAGTCTCGTCATTCTCAGTCCCACTGAGTTTACGTTTTCGACATTTTGAATTAGAATCATCTCCTGGTGAATTAACTTGCTTAAACGGAAGGCAAGCTTGTTTCAATTTTTTTGAAGGTTTATCGTCAACTCCGACTTCAGACATAGCTCAAGAAAAATTTTCTCGTACGTTAATACTAAAGTACATAAGATAATTTTAAAGACCGTATTCACAGTATTTAAATATTAACACGTAAATAAATAAACCAATAAATTATTATACATAAAACTAAAACTATAGAGTATTACTTTAATATTTAAGAAGTAAACAAATATTGATATATAAGTGTCGAGTTGTTAGTTTTATATTTATGGTAAGAAGAATATCTTATCTTCAAAGAAGAAATTTAACCTAACAATGCCTTGTATTAGCGCCAAAAATGGCGCGAAAGAATTAAAGGGAAAATTCTCGAATGATAACTATAATATTTCGTTCCATGATGCGTTTCAAAGTTTAAAACCGGTAATAATCATTAAAAACCAACACTTTTTCAGTTTTTTCAATATTTCAAAAAAATTGTAAAATATTGACCATTTAATTGCAATATGATTACTATAGATTACTACTATATACTATAATAAATTTTTAAAATATAATACAAACAAATTTTATCTGAGAATAATTAAAATGAATGTTTGGTTCGGCTTGATTTGAAAAATTAAAAGTTCGGTTCAATTTTAGTTTGATTATAAAATTGGGTTTGTTAGGGTTCTATTCGATCCTAAAAATTGAGGTTCGTAACATCACTAATTTAAACTCTACAGAACATCAGCATTTTCACACAAAAATACAAAGATATATTTGATAGATTAAGGAGATTTATTATTATACTACACAACAAAAAATCTTAGAAATTATATCTGAATCAATTATGTTTATAACTAACAAACATAATTTTATTTTGTATACTATATATTTGAATTTTATGTTTTACTATCTCATTCAAACTTTTTAGTTTGTTAAAAAAATTGTTTGCATTTGAAAATAAAACATTTTTTTCATATTATAAAGTGATTCCTTTCACACGAGAATACTACAAANGGAGGTTATCATATACAAAATTATGAAAATACTCTACACCTATTGCACACACCTCTACTCTAATTTATAAGATTTAAATATATAAAAAAAACTTGTATAAATTCTGCAACATTACAAATTATTTTAGTTACATAAAACCCTACATTTATCCATGATCAGATAATTTTTAGGTTCATCCCTTATGCCTTAAAAGGGTACCAACTTTTTTTTTTCAAATGGAAACATATATTTTTAGTTAGATATATTGATAGAGTTTTTTTTTTTTTTAATTTTTAGCGTTTGAATTTTTTATTTAAGTCGATTAGTTTGCATGTTATTTCACTTTAAAGTTTTGATTTTTTTTACCTATATATATGTATAAAACGGGTAGACTTGTAATACAGGTAGTTAATTGCAGCGGTTATGATGGCTCGTAAAGACACATATTAGATAAGATAAGATATTTGCTGGTCAATGTTAAATGGATCACTCTGTATATGTATATAATAAATAAATATTATGTATAATTAAAAAAAAATTATTTAATTAATAAAAATAATTTTTTATCTTCACCATATTTTAGCATCTGGATGCCCTGATCAGTGTTGTTATGTTTTAAACATATTTAAACCATAAAAAATTACATTGGTCCTATGGGACATTTTACTATATCTATGTTTTAAACAAGTTATTTTTCATATATTTTTTGACAATTCAAACCCTGATATTATATTGAAAAAATTTGCGTAAAAATAATTATATGAAATACAGATCTTGGTATACTTGTTTATTAATTACGAAAAGATCACCCAATATTATTATAAGGATTTGTAATTTGGCTTTAAGTAGTTTGACAAAACCAAAGCCATTGAGATCTTATGTCTTTTTTAATGAATCGGACAGCTAGATGTCCAATTCAAAAACATATCAGTCGTACTTTTTGAAGATGGCAAGCAACTAAGTACATTTGATGACTGACTTTTTGACATTCAATTTAGGCAATATAAAATTTTAAAAAGTCGTTTTAGTCGACTACAAATTAAAAAATATTTCTCGTCGACTGAGTTTACTTTAGGTAGACGACAAACTACCTCCTTTCCAACTCCTCCTTAAGTTACATTCCTGGTGTGATTATTATATTATGTATTGTGCACTGTATTATGAATTTATATAAATAACACAAAAAATGAATTTCTAGAAGGAAATTTAATGAAGTTAATTATTTAAGAAATTCATTTGAAAATGTCTATTATGAATCAAATTTCGAAATTCCATCTCAGTAAAATTCTGTATCTCATCAATTTAATATAATAATAGTGTATTATGATTTACTCTTGTACTAGAAGAGATCCCAAATATACATCATAGCCTAACTTTTACTTGAATATTGAAATACACTAAAAGATATTATACAAGGAATGGTTCATAGAATTTCACAATAAGAATTATTTTTATAAATAAATTAACTTATAATCTGTTTTATCTTTCAAAATAATAGTTTTAAATTATTAAAATTATATATATTTATATATAATAAATATGCAACAAAAATATATCAAATCAAACAATATAGTTAATCTATAACTTTTTCTTAGAAATAGACAAAAAAGTGTAAGTAATGTATACTAAAAATAATCATTACAATAATTTAATGACAAATAAAATTATGTATAGTAATACTAAACAACCAAATTAGGGCCCTTTGGCAAATGTGAACCCAGTAATTATATACAATTAAAGTTGATAGTTAAGCATTTTAAATTCTGTACAATATATATATATATATATATGTATATATATATATATATATATATATAATTGTCTACTACAAGCAAATTTAACTAAATTATAAGAGAAGTTTAAAATAAAATTCACACAAATCAAAAATTAAAGTCCTTAACAGGGATTTGGGCAACAATAATAAGCAACACTAAAATACACATTCATTATTTACATAGTACATTATACATTATTACACAAGTTAATGAATATATCAGTAATAATAAACTAGTTATTATTTACTTTTTAGAAAATGAGATTTAAACAAATAAATAATTACATTTAACAAAACATAATATATGAATAAATATACCTTTACTATTTAAGTGATAAGTTCTTGTAATTTTTTAACTGTAGTCTCATTTAATGCACAGAGGTCGAAATCAAAAGTTTTAGTTGTTATTTCATAATGACCTGTTTCAGCTATTACAGTTACAACCCGTTGTAAGTCTTCATCTTCCAGCATCATAATTTTGTGCTGAAGATTTTTCAATGAATTTATGTATTCATCTGTAAATTTATTATTACTGGGAGAAGGAGATGGAGATCTTGAAATATCTGAGCATGTTTCTCTCATTTCATCAGGAATTTCAGTTCGACTTAATTTAGGTCTGGGTTCTTCTATTTCACGCTCTTTCTTTTTTCTTTTCTTCTTTTTAATAAAACTATTTTCCGGGGAAAGTTTCTTTTTGTGAAGGTCTTTGGATTTTGGTAATTCTGGTTGTTGGTAAGATTCACTGTCTTCGGATAAAAATCCTTCTTCAGTATCTGAATCATGGATTCTTGAAGAATTTGCTTTAAGGGGTGAATTTTCAGGGTGCTCTTCTTTTGTTTTGGTAAAATCATCTAAAGAGGAGTTTTGTTGATTTAAAATTTCTGCATGTTTAAACGATTCTTGCTCATTAAAAACTGTTTTTTCTTCTTTTTTCTTTTCTTTTTCTTCTTTATCTCTTTTGTCCTTCTTTTTATGTTCTTTATGACTTTTATGAGGTTTAGATAACTTTTCTACCTTTTCAATTTTTTTATCAGATTTTACTTTTAATGAATCTGGTGAACTTTTATGTTTCTTTTTTTCTTCTGAATAATCTAATTTAACATCTTGTTTAGAAATAATTTTAGACTCATGATAAGATTTTTCATCTTTATGAGATTTTTCTTTTATTTTTTCTTTTATTTTGTCATCGCGCTTTACTTTATCTTTTAAATCTTTTTTATCAATTTTAGTATCATTATTTTTTTCTTTTACTTTTTCATGATGTGTAGATTCTTTTTTCTCTGTTTTAGAACTACTAATTTTTAAAGATTTAGATTTTTCAGAGCTATCTTTTGATTTTTCTTTCTCCTTTTTGTCTTTATCCTTTTTTACTTTATCAACAGACAACTCTTTAGATTTCTTTTTTTCTTTATCTTTTTCTTTATCTTTTTTTTCTTCTTTGTGGTGCGGACTACTTTTTAATTTTTGTTGAGATTTTTCTGATGAGGTAGATGATTTTTGTGATGTTGATTTTGATGTAGTCAGAGGTAACTTTGAAGGCTGAATAGGAGACCCAAATAATGTAGCAAATGTGTTATTTAATTTCATGTCTTCTTTTTTATGTTTTTTTGGTGGTGGAGATGGCAGACGACTTATATTCGTAGAAGATTTAGATTTGGATACAGCAGAATTTGAAGAATTTTTTATTTCAGTACCATCATGGGACAAAACACTTATCTAAAAATTAAAAGAAAATATTCATTATATAGACAGTGTCTATTAGACACATATAAACATACATACACACACACACACACACACATATATATATATATATATATGCAAAAATTAGAGTAAAACTAAGTAGTTGGACAAATAACTTTTAAAATTGCAAACCTTATATTGTCATTTTCTATGGAAATGTTCTCAAAGAAATTAATTTGATCCTTTAGAAATCATTATTTAAACTTGACTTAAAAGAGCAATGTAATTTTAACTACTATTCTTCTTAAAAAATTGTAATTAAATTATAAAGTTGTCAATAAATGTTACTATTAATATTGATATATTGTAATAAAATATTATATATAAATCTAACAATTACAATTTGAAAATTAAGTAGTCAAGTATATTTGATAAACAAACATTTTTTTATAAAATTTCATTGATGAATTATTTATAATATTTTCTTATAAAATAATAGTAAATTATGTGAATATAAGCATTCTAATCTCTGCTCGGCTTTGAAGGCACTCTGTAACAATCAGGTGAATTCAAAGCTGGTCCTCGAATGCAGGGAAACTTTAGAATCACTATCGAGGTTCAACAAAGTTACACTAGCGTGGGTACTCGGACAACGGTGTCACTAGAAATGAGAATGCTGACTTCTGACTTAGCCAGGAAAGGAGCAGAGAACATCTATGTTGGACCAGAGCTGGTGGTAGGACTCACTGAGCAATCGCTCAAAGCGCTACCCAAGAATTGGTGCAGAGAACAACACAGGAAAATCTGGAAGTACTTGGTAGTACCTAGACAATCTAAAATGTTTATCAAGACCCCTGGTCTACTGTTGGGTGATCTTAATAGCATGACTAGACATCAAATAAGCACCCTGACTGGTCTACTGACAGGACATGGTCACCTGCTTAAACATCTTAACACAATGGGGGTATCGGAATCACCATTGTGCAGGAAATGTGGAGTAGAAGAGGAAGACTCATTTCACATCATGTGCGAATGTGAAGCCTTGTCCACACTAAGATAAAACTACTTAAATAAACCTTTTCCTAAAAAAGAAGATATTAAAAACCTAAAACCCAGAGAGATACTTAATTTTGCCAAGAAGACAGGATTTTTTGGTCATCTTTAGAGGTGACTTTATGGTTGGTAATGTATTAACACTTAGGTGAGTATACCGAATCGAGTCAATTCGGTATGAGGTGCGCACAATGGACCAACAGGTCTGAGTGCATGGGCATTATGTCCACCACAATAATAACTAAAACTAATCTCTGCTACACTCATTTTGTGTTCTACTTTCTTGTCAAATTTGAATCGTATAATTATAATTTTATAGTTGATGTATAAAAACTATTAAAACTCAATTTGAATATATACTTAAATAAAACAAAACTACTTCTGTATTATTTGTATATAAATAAACTTATAAATATTGTTAAAATTAGATTTATCGTATGATTATTAAAAATTTTAAATATTTTAATAACTTACTCCTCCACCCTTAATCAGTTTTCGTCTAAAATCTTCAGAAGGGCTGAATATATATTTTTCTCTGATGACTTTAAATATAGGTGGTGATCCTCGCTCATTAAGTATTAGCTCATAATTAAAACGAATTTTTCTAGGTTCATCTTTATTCCGGACATATATGTCAATAGGTAATGGAAAACCAGCATATCCAGATTCTTTTACGACATAAGGTGGCTCTTTAACAACTTCAATATATTAAGATCAATTAGAAAATTTTCTTAAAAGAATATCTCAAATAGCTATTATATATATTAATTGAATTTAACTTATGCACTTAGTTTTCAAAATAAAATTTTAGTAACCATAAGAGTTGAATAGAAATTTTCTTTTTAATTTTTTTAGTATTACAACAAATAATATTGCTTACTGATGAAATTTTATTTGATGACAGTAGATAGTGGCCACATTTTTAATACCTGATTGTTAACAGTGATAATAGAATAAAATATATTATGGCACATTCATAACTAATTTTTGAACTTATTACTAATTATTAAATTAATAATGAAAGCTCAAAAAAAAAAAAAAAATTGAAGTTACGAGAAGAAATTATGTGTTGTCTTTAAATGTATTATAATATTATATTATACTTATAAGAAAACTTAAAGTGAAGCAATATTTATTTTTAAATAAGTTATTTAGCAATAACTAATTATATTTCTTACAGTTATTCATAATATGATTAAATTACTATGCAGGTTTATAAAATTTAATTAGTTTAATTACCTCGTTTGGGATTAGGGAACGTATCATGTAAATTGAAAACAACTTTATCAACAAAATAATGAATGTCTGTATTGTCTGCACCTCGAACAAATAATTCCCAGTCATGAGTGAAGCCTTCTGGTGTTCTTTTATTTCTAACAGACGCCTCATGACCAATTTCAAATATAACCTTTACATACTATAATTAAATAAACATTATAATATTCATTTTAGTCAGTATACAATCGTCAACAGTAAAAATTAGGCAAGAAATATACAAACAATTAATACAATAAAGAAATCAATGTAAAATTTAGACAAATTAAAATCTCCAATAAAAATTATTCGTCAGAACTAATCGTAAAAGTTACCTATACATTTCTATGCCCATATTTATTAAGCAGTACTCACGGGAAATGCCATGTTCATCGAATCATTTTAAAGATACAAAATTGCTATTGTGATAGATTATCCGCGCGTAAATATGATACATCGATATCTAGGGAACGGGGTAAATCAAAGGGTTTTTTTAATATAAATTCAGAAATGCAAAAAAATCAAAAGGCAAACCACAGATAACAGAATCTGTTAAACAGACGTAATATTATCTACTTTCCAAATAAAAACACAATTTCAGCACGCACGCACATAAATATATCGCAAACGAAAACAACAAACAACTGATTGGTCAGGCAGACCATAATGTACGATGTGTCTAAAATATTGAAGGAGACATTGGCGATTGGCTGTACTATGTATTTTTTCGTATCTTTGTAGCATAATTTTTTTATATCAACACTGATTAAATTGTTCTATTGATAAAACATGATAACAAAATTAAAGATACAGGTGTTGACTAATTTAAATATTTTTAAATGGAGTATATTAACTAATATTTTACTAATTTTTAATTGTATTATCTGTTGTTGAAATTCAAATAAAATCTGTATATTGTTCAAAAGTGAGTTTTTTTATATTCTATTAAAAATACCTTTTTTATTGTACAAAATATTGATTTCTTTGAATATTAAATTTTTATATTTGAATAAATTAAGTACTCAAATTGAAAAATATTAATAAATGAACGTTCTTTACGAGCAATTGTTAGCATAAACTATTGACAGCATAATTCACACTGACCTGATTATGTAATATATACAAGATGATTCACTAAGAATAGTTTTCTTAATAAAAACCCACTTTCTTGAAAATCTGACATTTTTGTAAAGAAAATAATTATTTAATACAATAACACAATAATATGTAGTAAAATTTTTTTTTTTTATCTTTTTAGAAATAAAAAACTTGAATTTCAATTTTCTTAAATAGAAAATTCTATTTTTAGTTTAATTATATGATAGAAAAAAAATGTTAAGCAATTATTTTATATCCGATGGACTATTTATATAGTATATATATATATATTTTTTTTAATGATTTTCTATATTCATTTTAAAAATTATATAAATAGGGAACACATACTAGACACTATTAAAAGCATTATTTAGAAAGAGGCACACAGGTATTTTTGTATGGTATGTTCATAGATTATTAATTGATATAAAGAACATTTGTAGCAATTGTTTTACTAAAAATCATAATTTTGCTTATTAATTTTATTGATCAAATTTCAACAATGCTGTTGCATAGTAGCTTGCAAACAGTTTATAGTAGTATTGCATAGATTTTTTTTACCAAACAAATGCAAATTAAGTGATTGAATTACTTTGTTTGATTTTTAGTATTTAAACATTAAAAATGATTGATTATTCATCAATATTTCATTATTAAACAATTTACTTAAGTGCGAGTATAGGTGATACTCTAACTTAAGTAATAATTCATTTCATAATTAATAATTTCAAACGAAATGGATATAATTTTATATAATATATTAATATATAATTATTTACACAACCTAATTGGAATGTAAAACACAAATTCTTAGCATTTTATAATTGTCAGTTTTCTGGTTTTGACTGAGCCAAATAGTTTATCTACTTCAATACGTCATTCATTGATAAATTTAAATTCTAAAATTGTATTTGGTATAGTTAAAAAAAAATAGATTACAAGCAAATTTAGCTTCTTAGTTATGAAAACAAGGTGTTTAAAAATAAGGCAGTTACAATAATGAATTTGTATAGACTTTAAATTATTTAATGATTTAAATCTATATTTTGTGTCTGATCATTTATTTTAATTTAGTGTAGGAAAAATTAATTTAATATATCAATAAGCATAATTTTTTTTTAAATCTATCACTTATTTGAGTGTTTAAATTATGTTTAGAAATGGCTAGGTGGCAAATAGAGGTAGCTCGTATGGCTATATACATGGCTTTCCCAGTTGTTCTTTTTCATTATTTTAACTTACCTGAAAATTATGAAGAAAAAGTAATTCAATTCAAAAGAGAAATGTGTCCACCTGAACGACCTGAACCCCAAGAAAAAATTGCTGAACTTAAAAGACTTTTTCAAGAACGCAAAGAAGCAGAATTAAGGAAAGTGTTTGAAGAATAAAAATATTTATTCACTTAGTTTTTGTATATATTAATTTAATGTTTTGTAAAAGAATAAAAAAATGTGTATAATTGAACAATACTATAATAGACAAATATAAATTTAAAAAATCATAAGTAAAATTAGGGCATTAACAGAGACATTTCAACTTTTGAGCAAATTCTGTTAGTTGCAGCCTTTCACATTGATCTATAATTTGATCTAATTCAATATTATTAATGCATGGACAACTGAAAACCATTTTAACGCAACATGTAATTTCATAAGAATCTTTAGCTAAAAAAATTAATTACAGCTCACTTATAGGTTTACATAGTAATAATATTATGAAGTATTATTTATCATACCACTGTTGAATGAATTTTTTATTAAAGAATTCCATGCTTTTTCTACAACTTCAAATGTTAATTGGTGCCATTTATCCATCAAATGTGTAAGAACCATTTCTAACTCGCTAATAATTGAAAGATTAGTTAATCTAGTAAGTAATGTATCCCAAATAGTAGCATTCATTTCTTTTGAATACATAACGCACAAATGTGATGCTAATTTAGTTGCACTAATAGATTTTCGAGCAAGTAGTGATTGCACTAATTTTGATTTATCACAGCTTCTATATCGTACAGGAGAAAAATTAATACCTAGAGTTTCTAATTCAGTAATAACTGATAATTCCACTAGATTGTTCCTAAAAAACCATACAAATAGAATTAAATACTAAAATAAAAAGTAAAGTATTAAAGGTATTAAGCAAAGTTTAATCATTTTTAAATTAGTATTGATTTTGGTTTCATTTTAGAAACCAAAAAGATTTTATAATATGAAACCATTTAAAAATTTTAATTTTTAACTTTATAAAAAGACTAATTACTCATAAAAGATAAGTCGTTAGACATTTTTTTTAAATTATATAGTACACAATATAGTCTTAAATTTGATTTAGTTTTGAATCCAGTATTTTGTTGGTAAGTAAAATACATCAAAATAACAATTATTACTAAAAATTGAATGATTTTTCACTTTATTGCCCAATAACTCCTATTTATAATATTTTAGATAGTTTCTCTTATTTCATTTTAATGTAAATTTTATTAGATTTAATTTAATATAGCTTTTTGAAACAGTATTAAAAATTAGAAAAAAAATTTTCATGATTTTAAGTTACCACAGTACCTTAGTTAATAATTAAATTTAAAAAAAAAGTATGTAGTCAGTAAGGTAAATGTTTGAAATATTATATATAAAGAAGTTTTTATGAGAAAGGACACAAGTCACTTTTACATTTATCCACGGTTACAAATGTCAATTGTGCAAGTAGTTTTGCTATCAATATTACTATTAGAATTTAGATTATGAAAAAAAAATTTTTGCCAGACACAATTACTCCACTTATTAAGGATTAATTTTGCTGAACAATATGTTAAAAAACCATAAAACTATCTATTTGAAGTTATTAGCATCATAATTTTGAAAAAAATTTCTGTCTTGATAATAAAGAGAAATTCACAAAAAATTGCAGTTGTCATAAAACAGTATATGTTAATATTTTTAATTTTTACTCTATATTAAAATAAATTAAAAACTGGATGTATTACTCTGAAATTTATAACACCTAACATTTGCCTTACTAAATACATACTTTTTTAAAACATTTAATCATTAACTAAGGAAATTTGGGAGTTTAAAAATCCTAAAATGTTTAAATTTTTAATACTGATATACCAATATAAAGTATTGACTAAAAGTAAGACACGGGTGGTACTGCTATTTTTATCACTAGTCATTTCTTGGCCATACTCTTTCTCTTGCCTAGTTATATAATTCAAAATAAATTCTGAAGTGCTGATCCAAAAGTTGTTATTGACTAGTCATTTTTTAAATAAATTATATTTTATATAAGCTAGTTAATTATGTAAATTGTCATTTGAAAAAAAAAAAACCTATAAGTTATTAGGGATTATTCTAAAAATTAATTGTATGATAAATCAAAAAAATTATGTAACTATAAATATGCTAATTTTTTTTTCAATATTTTATTTAGTTTTAATGGTTTATAATAAACTGATGACTCTGTATTTTGTGTCACTATTGTATACAAATGCTAAAATCAGTAAATGATTATGAAATAATATTAAATACATAACATAGTTTAGATAAACTATTTAATTGGTACTATAATCAATTTACTTCATCATTTCTCTAGTGCGGCACGTAATTTCTTCAATATTAGGAGTAGTTGCTAAACACAGACACTGTAGGGCTCTTAAGCGTACAACTGATGGACACATTGAATCACTTTCATCTTCATTGTAAGCTTGACAAATCAGGAAGTTATGTAAATTATATGCTGCAGTATCATTTTCTAGCATATAGCAAGCCCTAATTTTACAGTAATTTGTAAAATTTATTCTTTTTTTTTTTTTTACCATGAATTACACTTACCTTAATACTCCATCACTAATAGTTGAATGATCTTGAGGAACATAAAACGAGTTTCCTATTGCCATTGACATATTTTTGTTAGGGGATCCTATAGAGGAATGTTGTAACCATTCTTTCAATAAATCTACTTTAGTTGCTAATCCACCTTTTCCATGAACTTCAACAATTGCATCTACTGCACTATTGATGTCTAAAAATTATCACATTTAAAATGTTATAATATAATTTATAGTTTTCATTTTAATATTTAATTAATTAAATGATTCATGTTTGTTTAATGTTAACTTACCAGGGAATGATTTAATTTCACCTGTATGTCTTTTCAAAATAATAGGATCATTGTATAATTCTCTTATTAATTCATCAGGTTGCAAAGCAAGTTGAAGATAATTAGATTTACCAAATCCATAAGTATATAGTATGTGTTTCGTTGTAATTGATAAATATTTTGTAACAACCTTGAGTAAAGTAATTAATTAAAATTATAGAATACTATAAATAAAATAAAACATAAATGTTTACATACTTTCATTATACCTGATTTGGCATTTTCTGAATTTTCTGTTTTTAACCATTCATGTGCTTGCGCATGACATATCTTAGCTGCTTCTAATTGATCAGCTCCTAACAGATATTACACATTTTAAAAATAAATCAGTATTCAATAAAATTAAAGTTTTTTAATTATACATTAATTTACCTAAAGGTAAACTGTTAACAACAAAATATAAAGAGGCAGCAACTACTTCCAAATTTTTGACATGACTTAAAACTTTTTGTATATTTATTAACAATGACTCTGAACGCATATGTAAATACCATTCAATATTTTTTTCTTTTGAAACTACTTCATTAACCTTAAATTAAAAAGAAGTTTTGTCAAAAGCTAAAATTAATTTAATTTTAAACTAATTTTACTACATTACCATATGCTGCACTGTAAATATGCATAATGTGTCTTTTTCCATTCCTATAGCTTCGATGATAGAAAACCATTTTTCATATGTTACAAATGTTAATTCAGGTTTAATAATTTTCCAAGGGTGTACTTCACGATTTTGTCCAAATTTCTTATTTTTATTAGCAAGAGGAACATAAGGTAAACGATACTTCGAAATTGAAGGTAACGTTTGTGTTTCCTGAAACATTGAAGACCATATTTCTTGTTCATGTTCTGCAGGTACACTCACTCTTTTATATTGTATAAGAAATAATAAGATTTCTTTTTGTATTTTATATTTTGATCCAGAATTAGAATCATATTTTTCAATTAGTTCCATTATCACTAAAAATACCTCATAATGGTAAATATTTACCTGTATTAAGAAATTTAAAATATTTTAATGGCAACATTATTGCTGTAAAAATTTATAAATAAAATTAAGTTAGTACTTGATCCCAAACGTGATTCCAAAGAAAATCAACAATTTCTGTTTTGTCAATAATAACACTAACAATATCCTCACATTTTTTCAGCAATAAGTCTTTGTCATTGATGATTTTGGTAATGGAATCTAAATTATATAAAATATCAAATAGCTACCATTATATAATTGTAAATTATTTCTTTTACTAAAAAAATATTTTTAAATATTAAATAACTGTTAAAATCATGACAATACCTTATTTTACTAAAATATAAGTACTTTTTATTTATATCAAGTCATTAAGTTAACTAACCAAAAGTTTTTTCTTCCTTTTGTAGTGGTATATATGGTAACCATTGAAGTAAAGAGTTTTCTAAAAATAATTTGGCAGACTGTTGCAAATCAAAGTTTGTATCACTACAGTAATCAACTAAAACGTTCAAAGTCATATTTGGAGTTCTTATCATTTTTAAGAGTAAATTTCGTTGATCCAGTTCAGATTTATAAAATGCATCTAAATATAAAATTATTAATTTTAGTTTACATACATAAACCAATAATAAATGTTTTCATTTAAAATTTTCACCTTTAAAAGCAAAACCATACTTCATTATTTTTTTACCCCAAATACACTTATTTTTTGTTGATTTTAATGAATCATAAAGGTCACAAGCAGCATTATAATTCAATCGAACATAAACTAGACCCAAATCAGTTACATTTGTTAATTTTTGATAGTTCATCCCAACACTATAATATAAACAAATTATATACTACGTATATATTATCAGCTTAATAAGTAATTTTGATCATACATATTTATAGTAATTCATTAATATTAAATATTTATTTATACTTGTTAAGAGCATCTTCTAGCCAGCTAATAGCATCATGTGGTTTTAAAGTATTCAAAAGACCTAATCCTAGATCCATATCTAAATTTCTTGCATATGTGACACTTTTTAAAATTTGTCTTACATTACTTCTAATAAGATTATTTCCTTTGTTTGTTAATTCTGAATCCTAAAATAAAAGTGAACGTATATAATTGTATAAATAGTTAAGGTTTTAACTCGAAAGTTTATAGTACCAATGGATGTTGTTTTAAAAGAATAGTTCTATACAGACACATTATTTGTGTGACAGTGATATGAAGTCCTATAAGATTTTGTCCTTGGAAGTATTCTAATGATGACATAATTACATCAGGTGATGGCTAAAATACATATTTTTAAAATTATATAAAAAAAAATGTTACGATACAAAATTAGAATTTAAATACAAACCGCATTGTTAAATGAATTTGATATATCTGGTGTTTTATAGCAAAGCATTGAAGACTCTGGATTAAATACATCTACAAAAAAATTAAATAATAACTATATTATTTTAAATGAAACTAACTTAATTAAAAAATATATAAATATAGTACGTAAAAATGAGCTATAAAGTTCATATTGTTCAAAAAGCTCTGAATGTATAGAATTTTTATCTATTATTGCATTTCTCCATGAATAAGCTAATCCAAGATCCAAATTATCACCAGTTAAAATATCTCCACAAGTCAAATAAAATGGTTCAACCCATTGTCTTAATTCTACAGCTCTAGTTAAAATATCTAAAAAATTATATAAACTTATTTATTTAATGAAAATTAACATACCAATGTTAGACTACTAGGTCTATAGTTCAGTGATATAATTTAAAACAAAATTATATAAATTAATAAGAAAAATTATATTAGAGTTTGGTCTAAGTTCTTTAATTATAATAAAATGTATTTTATGAAAAAATGTTAAATAATTTGTAAAAATATTTTTTTGTATAGTACTTCTCAATAGTTTTACTTGATTGGCTATAGACAGTAACTAATTGAGTAATTCTTCTAATTAAAGTCCATAATGGTATTTTGAAAGTTGCTTGGGAAACTGGATTATACTTTGACATTAATAACTCTCCTAAATCTAATAATTTTTCTGCAATTTCTATATTAATATCTTCAAATGTAACTATAAATTGACCAAATAAACACACATGCTCAGTATTGTTTCGCAAAGCAGCTTCTTTTACAAATTGCACAACGACTCTTTCAAAAGATTCAAATAATAAATATGATAATCTAAACAACTTAGCTTGAATAATAGAGATATCACTTGAACATATATCTGTTAGAAAATATATAAGTTTAAAATTTAAAAATTCAGTCTAAATTTCAAACAAAGTGTTTTATTTAAGTTAATACCATTAAGAGATGATGTAACACATTTAATCAATAAATTCTCTATATGGTCATACTCTGATAATGAACACTGAATATTATATTCCTCCTAAAAACAACATTAACTTTTTAAAAGAGTAAAATATATTTGATATGTACATATATTACTTTTAAATAGTGAATATTGATTAAAATATTTGCATTTTGTCGACACTCTAATCTTATATCTACTATGGGACTTTTTGCTAAAAATTTTAAAATAACAAAATAATGAGCAACTTCTTTTTCAAAAAGAGGTATATTTCTTAAACTATCATATGTGATCCAAATTGAAGTACATATCTTCTGAATCATTGAACTAGGTATTATTTGGGGATTAATAATTGACTCAATCGCTTTATCAGTAGAGCTAAAGGAAATACTTTCTTGTAAAAAAGTTACAATATGATTATTTAAGTATTTAAAAGAATTACCCAATATCAATTAAATATTTGATATAAATTTCATATGCTTCTAATTGAATAGATTCAGACTGTGTACTTATAAGTTTTACAATATCTTCTAGAGTAGTAGAACGATTTTGAATACAAATATTTTGAACAGCAACAATAATCTTATAAAAAAAAATGTTTACATTTTGTCAACTTATTTACATTAAATAAATAGTTATCATTTAAATATTACATGAATTAAACATATTGTTTAATTATAGTATATAAATTAATATTTCTAAATGATTTTTGTAAATACATACTACATATGGAGTAATATTGGAAAACACCATGTTGTAATTTTTTAAAATCAATTTACTAGCTAGTAAACTTTTTACTTCTTCAATATCCTTGATAGTTGCAGATGCAATATCAGTTTGTAAAGTTTCATCACAGAGCTTTATCATTAAATCAGACCAAGGGATTGTAGCTGCTTTTAAAATACTCAATACACAATCCGATTTTATCTAAAATCAGTTACAATTTACAATATAATTGATATAAATTAAAAATTTTTTATTATTTAAAATATAGCTTTTAATAATAAGAAAAATGATTTTGTTTTGGATAAATACAAATTTAAATACAGTAAAAATAACCGTAATTATATACATATAAAAAGTATTATAACAAATACTATTAACCAAAAAAAATTATTTTAAATAATCAAACCATGAAAATAAAATTGTTTATTCATGAATATATTTGATATTTGTAAAAAAATTGAAAACAATATGGTGTCTCAAAATTCAAATTAAAAAAAAAAAATTTTTTTAGTAATAAATAACATTTAATTTAATTAAAAACATTTTACAAATTGATAAAACAAATTTTTGAATTTTATAGACACTATACAGAATATGTACCATATTTTAGGTAAAAAATAGTAAATATTGGTATAATAAAATTTCATCATTAGTTATAATTTTTTTTATTATGTTAATTATTTTATTTTTTTAATTATGAATTATATTTATCATTTTTTCAAATTAGAATATGAGATTTTAGTCAAAAACTAGTAATTTCATAAACTATATAACTGTTGTTTTCAGAAAGAGTAAATTTTCCTCATCACATATGTTGAAAAGAAGTAGTCAAAAATATATTTAACTATAATTCGCAAAATTACTATAACAATTCAATTCAGATAAAGTAAATTTTACAACAAACATATATATGATGGTAAACCGATACAAGTGATGACAAATCACTCACAAGTTCCAAAAAAAAAAAAAAAAATTGCTTAAAAAAATCTGTTTTGTAAAATTATATCAGCATTCAATGTTTTACTAAACAAAAAATATACAATTTATCTAAATTTGAATTTACATTTAAACAACATATACAATTCAGTGTAAAGTTATCTTAATAAATAAATCTTATCTGTGTAATTCTAAATATTTAAGTTCGGTATTAAATACTTTAGTGGGATTAAATTAATACCAAAAATACAATACATCTATATATTGTTTAGTGATTAAAATTGAAAATTTTGTTTTAACGATTTGTAAAATGTTTTAAATTAAAATAAATATTATTTATTGCCAGAAAAAAATAAAATCATATGCATACCAAAGATGTTGCATTAAAAATATAAATTATTGTGAAATTCAAATTTTGAGACTTTTGCTTCATTTTGCTTTTTGAGCTTTCAATATTTGTTTCAGATAAAAATCGAAAATTTTTTTTAGTAAAATATATAATTTCCTATATGTTTTATTTAAAGTTATTGTAGATTATTATTGTATTGTTTTCAAAAAAAAAAAAAAAAATAGGCAAATTTAAACTATAACCTTAAGTTGCTACGGGTTTAAGTTATCAGGAAGGTGTCAAAATTTACAGAGATCATTTTTTTTATTGATTACAATAAAAAAAGGCTGGTTCTCAGAAGAATTTATCAAATTCTTGACATCTTAATATACATATATAACAAATAAGTGATTTAATGATAGAATAATTGGATTAAATCATATTTTTTATAACTATAACCTACATCTTTGTTTGATATATATACTAAAAGCAAAATAGCTTTTTCTTCCCATGACCACCAACAATCTACTTGACTCACAATATTCTAAACAAATATTAAATAATACAATTATAAATAATTTAAAGTAAACTAATTTTAATGTATGTATATATGTAAAACAAAACAAATAAAATACTTTGATATAAGCAGATAATATTTCATCAGAGTTTAAAAATCTCTGTAATGTAAAATCTGACCAAAACTTTAAAATAAAATCATCATATTTGTTCAACTGAATTTGATCCAATATCATAAAAGATAGTTCAGCATAGTTGTTGTCTTCGTGAGCTAGTTCATAATCATCTAGGCTGATTTTAGCACCATAATTATCTTTCAACTCTTTTAATTCTACTAAATATTTAATTAATAAGATTAATTTTTTTTGTGGCTTAGGGGGCCGTGAGATATTTAAACAAAGAGGTGATGCAACAATTTCATTAATTATATTTAAAAAGTTTCGACAAATATCTAAGCTGGGATCAATCCAATTTAAGTGTAAATACAATTCATTCCATCTAAAAAAAATAAATTAATGATGAAATTTCAAATTAAAATTATTTTACTTATTATTTGCACATACCTAACTTTACTTTCAATATAAGAAACCAAAGCTGCGATGGTTTCATCATAAAACAAAGTGAGTGTAGTTGAAGTAAAATTTAAAATCCATAATTTTAATTCTTGTAAATCTACAGATAGAGGCAAAATTGAAAAATAGTCTTCAATTGACTCTTCAGAAAAATATTTCTTAATTTCTACAATATGGCGACTCCAAACAGTTAATGCATCGCTTAATTGATTCTAGAAACATACATTTTTAAAATAAATAAAAAATAAAAATAAAAAATAAATTTTATTTTATACAATACTAGAATACTATATTGATTTCAGTTTTTAACAATTGTTTTGCATTCCATTTTTGATTTGAAGATAGTTATCTTCATTAAACATTAGTATAATAATAATAATTTTTATCAATAACAATCCTCAACAAAAATGTAATTATAAAACAAGTTTTAACCTCCTCCTCTTAAAAAAGTTTGCTGATTAAACTAGTGATACATACATTATGTCAAGTTTGCTTTCATCAAATTTAAAACTTACATCTTACTTTCATAAGCAACATTGCTCTCTCATTCATATCGCCTAATAATTGGCTAATTTTGGATGAGTCGTACAACAGATTTTGCCACAATTCAAAATAAATCCAGTAGGAAATATGAAATTTCTCTTCTGAGTTTTTTACTTTCCATTTCCAACATAATACCTATATGAGTACTAATACAGTACTTAGCCAGGAAGTGACCAAATGTTAAACAATATTCAATGTTGCTCATAAAAGTAATATTGAAGTTTATGAAATAAAAAAAAAGAATAAACTTGCACAATATAAATATCACTACTATGATAGGTGGACATTTTTGGGAGAAGTAAGTTGCTACTTTACTATTGTTCACAGTTGCGTTTATACTAAGAATAACTTGCTGGCATAAGTCAGCAAAATACAGAATATTCATGAGCTACTGAAAAATCAGAACAGATGACTGACCTAGTACCCTCAACTGATGCTCCTGCTTGTAAAACTGTTTATTTTTAGAAAATAACAATTTTTAGATTTTTCCCTTTACTTACATTATAAGACCTACCTTTATGCCAAATTTCATGTTTTTACATATACAGGAGTATTTTACGTTTTTGATAATAAGTCAGTAACGAAATTGAAAACTTTGAAATACTCCAATTTTGAAATGGCATAATAATAAAGACTAAATTTTTTAGTTTTTAAAATTGCTAGAACCTTATTTATGTTTAAAATTTCAAAATTCTATCTTAAGGGGAAACAGTTAGAAAAATGGGTGAATTTTTTCATGTAAAATTTAGATAAGCATTGCTAAAACTTGGTTTGGCTCATTGCTGTGTGCTCAGATAACTTTATTTGAAGTAGCAAATATTATCTTGAACATCAAGGTTTTATAATACCATTAAATATTTCAATAATTACAATTAAAGATTAAAATGATTGATAATATTAAATTATAAGGTATAAACAAATTATATTAAACCTTTTGCTACATAATAGAACAACTTATATTATCCTAGGAATAAAATAAAAATATTTACCTATATAAAAATACTCACTTTCTGTATAAGGTTTAAGCAAATATTATTTATGTTATCTTTAGAAAATCTGAGCCATAATTCTGTGTCTTCAATAGACCAAATAGTTGAACCATCAGACATTGGATGCAGTAAACAAAAAGTATCTAATTTATGAAGGTTTGATTGTAACTGATCTAATAACACTTCTGATGATTTATTAAAATTTTCTTGAATAGAAGATTTAACACGAGAAAGAGCATATCTTAATAATTTTCTACATAAAGTAAAATTTGGTACTATAGTATTCAAACCACACTGTCCAACAAAAGTGTGATCCTTAAAATAAATAAATATTTTAATTTTTTTTTTAATTATGTCATGAAAATCTGATTTAAGTATTAACACTTACTTTGATTTTATTTAAATAGTCAATCATTTCATTAAAACATTCATGCATTCCATTTGATCCTGATTGCCAAACATCCAATTTTCCCATAAGTCCTTTGACTTGTTCTTTATAGACCATTTCTGGATCAAGATTGAATGTAGCCGCAAAATTTCGAGCTTCTTCATATTTTCCTCTTCTTAACATTCGTGCTAATCTTAGATCAGGTTGCCCTTCAGATATTATTTTTACATGTAAATTGTTGATTTCATCATCAATAAATGCTTCTAAATAAAGTACACCATCAGATGTTCCAGGATAATCAACTAGGTATGTGAAAGGTGAAGTTGGTAGTTTAAATGTTGTTTTAAAATCTGTAAAAAAAAAAAAATTCATGAATAATTGAAAATAACAAAAAATCATAAGATTCATAACATATATTTCAAATAATTTACTTAAAGGTAGTTAAATGAAAACCTAAAAATTTTCTGCTTACATTTTAAGAATAATGAATCTAATTTAAAATACACGAGTATGAGAAATTATGATTCTACATATATATGAGTAAAAACAAACAAGCAAATTAATAAAATTTTAGTATTTTTTAAAATATCACTTTTTTTTAGCTATATTATTTCAAATTTAAATTAAAAATATATTATTTAGTTAAAATAGAATACATCCATAAGAAAAATACCATTCTTGATAGCACCATCCAATTCCATTAGAGAATTGAAATTATAGCATTAAAAATTTGGATGGACTTAATTTTTGTAGACTTTACAAAAGGATGTTGTCTTGGGTCATACTGTAAGGACTGTATAATGGGCTCAGTTTGTTTTTCTAAATATACATATTTGGTTGTTATAAAAAACGTTTGATCAATAACCAGATAGCTGTATTTAACTTAGTTTCAAATATATACTATGGACTCATTTTTAAAAGATGTTATTTATGATGCTTTAACAAATAAAATAGAAAGTGAAAGTCATCAGGAAAAGTTAGTAAATTATCAGAATACATACAGATTAGAATCAAAAAATTCATTTAGTGAAACTAAAGCTTTGGAAGTAGTGCAAGAAGAAATTGAAAAATATATAAAAATTGAAACAAAATATGATGCACAGAAAGCAGCAGGAATATGTGCAGCTTTATCTCAAGCCATAAGAGATCGAATACATGATATGAATTTTGACAGGTTTATTGAACAGTAAATTGAATAAAGCTACAATACAATATTCTTCATTCATATATAAAAAATATATATAATTATAAATTAATTGAAATTTATTTATCTAGTAACTATGAGACTATTTATTTTTTTAATTATCTTATTTGATATATATTAAATATATTATATAGAGCATTATTGAATAGACTAATTCTTGTAATACATTTTTATCGAATTCAGAATAATATTTTTATGTCACATTTATAAAATAAAATAAAAATTATTGATAGCGCCAATTAAAAATAAAATTCATTATAGTTTAAATTAATTGATTTTTAATATTATAGGTACAAGATAGTATGTATTGTAGACATTGGAGAAAAAAAAGGACAAGGTGTTATGTCAATAGTTAGATTTTTACGAGATAGCAATAAAGATAAATACATAGTTAAAACTTATGAAAATAATTTTTTATTTGTATCTATCATGATAGGCGCTTTATACTATGAATGAATAAACAAACAGCACTAATGAATTCAAGTAATGATGTTTTAAGTTTTAAATTTGTATTAAATTAATTTTTTTTATCGGAAATAAATATAACAAAAGTAGAACAAATTAAAATATATATATATATTTTTTTTACCTGGAATAGACACTAAAATTAAAAATGGTTGATTTTCATGTGTTAATATTATAATACTTGTATTATCCATCTCTTGTAAGATGGTAAAATCAGCAACAGGAATTTCATTCCATTCTTTTATTGGTATAAATGTAAATGCACAAATTAACATAACTGTTTGATATTCAGTTAGACAAATTATAAAACTAAAAAAAAAAAAATTTTTTTTTAAATAAAATTTAAAAAAAGAGGATACTCATTATCGTAAACTAGAGAACTCACAAATTTTTGTTTAAGTTTAAGATAATAAAACAAATGTATTTTACCACCACTCTCAAAAAATTCAAACACAATTTTTTTTTAATTGTGATTTTCAATTCTTTATTCAAATGTTTAAAATATTTTTTTTCTAGAAATTATTGATTCAAAAATTATAGCTTTTAAAGTGTATATTTTTTTAAACAAAATATAACCTCAAAAATATTGTTTTTGACAAAAATAAAAAAATAATTAAATTAAAGTAATACAAAAAAAAAAAAAAATCTTGATTTTTATAGAAGTTACATAAGATTGTGATGATATGATAATTACATAAAACCAAGAAACCCAATCAATTAATTTAACATTGCAATTTATTAGATTACAATAGTACATTGGTGTGTTATTAAACACAATGGTGTTTGTTAAATTGCATTGTCAATTTTGAATTTAAGGGAACAACATCCCTATAATATAATACTCTTATACTATAATACAAAGCAAAAAAAAAAAAAGATAGGATGTGATTAATTTCTGAGTATTATTGAATATTACAATATCAAATTTATGTGAACTTTATTCTTAATTACACTACTATTATAATAAAAAAAAACTGACTATGATGGAGTGAATTTTTTAAATAAATAAAAAAAGGAAAAATATGCAAACCTTGGATTAAAATCAAAACCTGGTATTACATAAGTAATTACTGAATAAGTACACATTACTGTCTCAACAATAACTTAAAATGTGAAGTGCAAAGTGAAACTAACTATTTAAGTAACTTTACACTTTTTATTTGGAACAATTCAAATTTAATAAAAATCTGTGACTACAAAACCAAGAATACGTTATTAATATTAAAAAAAAAGAATAGCTGTACACAACAAAAATCGTTGATAGTAGAACAATTTGGAGGTTCAGAACTTTTAAACTATGCTAAAATATTTTTTTTTAAATATACTCTCAATCAACATAATAAAACAATCCTTTTGAAAAAAGTTTGAAATTCATGAGAGGGATGATAAAATGCATTTAAGCTGAATGCATTGTATTATTTCAATATTAACATTTTATAAAATTTTTGGAGCAGTATATTTTAATTTTAATTGAAATATTTGTTAGATAATTTAAAATAGACTAAATAAAACTAAAACTGCATTATTTATTTAACAATATTATAGTATCAAGCAAACACAAATTAATATTGATATTTCATTAAATGTAAACATTTTTTGAAAAAATTGATTAACTAGATATTTTCCTACCTTTTATTCTGAGTAAAAACAAATTTTTTTATTTTACAACCATCAGGAAATAAAAATTCTTTAGAACGCATATTTTCACCATCATAAACACATATACATTCTGCAGCCAACAAAATATTCTCATCTTTCTTACATATGGTTTTAACCTAAATTCAAAAAAAGAAGTTAAGTTTTATACAAAAAAAAAAATTATAAAATTTTTATCAAACTTACATTTTCATGAATATCATGAGTATTTAACAATATGAGATTTCCAATATTCTTTAAATCAATTCCTTCATTAGACTGTTCAATTAAATCTTGTACATTTTCACATATAAATCTCAAAAAGAAATTATATTATGCTTTTAAAAAATATTACATATCATTTCAAGTTTTGATTTTTTGATAAAAACATTTATTGTCACTAATTTTAAATAAAATTATTTTAAGGGTCCTTCATTTTACTATAGTTATTGCCGACAGCCATTGAAACTTCACATATTTTAGCTCTTCATGTATTTTACATTTTATTTACCATTAATCAATTAAATAAACAAATACAGATGTATGCATCCATCAAAATGAAGGTTACAAGTATTTCAGCGTAATAATAATAATGATTTAAATTTCAATAAAGATAATCTTTTAAATTAGGAAAAAATTTTATAAATTAAGCTATTCCCGAAAAAAATAAATAATTTGTTTATTTTTTATTGTAAATATTGCACTTTAGAATTTAATACTTTACTACAAAAATAAAAAAATTGTAGACTAAAGAGGGATACAATTTTGATAATTTATATAATATATAAATAATTGTATATATATTATATATTTTTTTCTTATATTGCTTACTGATTAATAAATCCTGATGATGTGAAAACTTTTATATGAAATTTATTGTCATTATAGTTGAAAAAAAGACCAATAAGTGCTTCTTCTTCAGATGGTAAACAACGCGGATTATTTGAAACTTTTCTATATAAAAGTAATAAAAATTCAGAAAAGTATTATTATATGTAATACAACTAATCAAACTGAATAAATTTTAAGTTCTGCTAAATATTTTTCTTACTTCACAAATAAAATTTTAGATTTAATAAATGAGCAACAATAAATTGTCCAATCATTTAGTAAAACTACCAAATAACTCCCATCATTTGAGATTTTGGAATCTATAATTTCACTAGGAAATACAAAAGTCTGGTTAATTTCTGTTACACTAGCATTAAATGCATTGAAAGACTGGCCAGCAGTTATATACATCAAATTGCCAGTACATGTTGCATGAATTTTCAGATGTTCTTTTGATGAATATGTAGTGTCACATGTTTTCCTAATAGTTGCTAAAGTAGTTGTTTCAAATATTCGACTATCCCCAATAGCTACAGCTCGAGTACCAAAATTTATGGTTTCGTCAGCTGAGCTGTAACCTATAGTTATTCCATTCCACATGTTTTAAATTAAATTCTAAATAAATCTACTTACAAATAAACTAACTTTAAATAATCACTGACAACTGAAAATTTTCAGTAAACATTAAGTTTTAATCCATTTTATAAATTTGTATTGTACTATTTAACAAAAAAAATTGAATATAATTAACTAATAAATTATTAAAAAAGATACAGTTAATCGATAAGTATTCTTATCATCTTAGAGAGGTAGAGCAGGTTAATATGATATATGTAACACAATTTTTATATTTAACTTAGCAATTAAAATAATAATGAAAACTAGTCAAGTTATACCATTTGTATTTTGTAATCAGTAAAAATTAGGCGCCAAATATAAAAAACATTTGCTATCAACACAAAGAATTTCATGGACTAAGAAATGTCGTTACTTGAATTTTTTTACAATTTTTAATATTAATAAAAATTAAAATTAAAAAGTATAATGACTTTTTAAGTTACTTTTCATTAAACATTAAAATGTATGAATGAAATAAAATTAAAATAATTAAGTTCTTTTTAAATTTTCTAACTAAAAAAACTATTTTCTAATAAAACTTTTCTGTTATCTGTTATCTATTAAAATTCGAATTAAAAATACTATTATCATACTTCTGAGAATAAAGGTACGAATTTATTTTATAATCGCATTTATTGTTTTGTAAAAATGTTCAAATATTTAGAAATATTTTTAAAAAATTAGATTTGGATATTACAGATATATGAAATTACATTTTTATGTCTGTTGAGTATTAATTTTTAAATTATTACTGACATCAGATGACAATGTTCAAAATGAATATTCAATACTTGATTATTAAGCTATTGGTTCAATATATGGTTCATATTGATATTATTTAGTATAGCAAAATAAAATCTTAAAATTTTAACATAGTATTGTGTATTAAATAAATATGGCAAATAGAATAATTTATACCCATCCTGTTGTTAATGAATATCAAAAAAAAGGAGCAAAAAATAACTTGCGACATGTATCTCATTATTGTATGCCTGGTCTAAACATTTACACCATGAACAATATTAGCAGTAAAGAAAATGCCACTGAATTTTATACTTCACCTAATCGTTTTACATTGCCTTATCCATTTGTAAAGCCTTTAGAAACTGAATACGGTAGTTTAATTTGACATAATACTATATTTTACTTTCTAACTAATTACTAATATATTTTAGTCGAAACTGATGTAGTTCTTGATTTAGTGCATTCAAAACTTCAATGGAAAACTGATAATGAAAAATTGTTGAAAACTAGTCAAAATAAATGTAACTATTTTTCATCTACTAATACTTAACCTACTAATTAATAATAGTTATTTATTGATTATTTAATGTTTTAGTAAATATAAAATCATTGAAAAAAATGAAGAACGAACTAGAGTCTAAAAATAATCTGCAAACTGTTGCTGTTCCTTACATATTAACTCGTTACTGTTTGAGTTTTATGACAGATCCAGATCAATATTTTGACTCGGTTAAAAAAATGATTATTATTTTTAAAACTATATAAGGTATTTAAATAATATAAATATATATATGTTTTTACTCTTTTCAGATTAATAATTGGTATTTTAAAAATACTTTAAATAATATTAAAATTAATGGAAAACAATATTTAGTATGTGCTCGAGGATCCAAACTTGATACTTTAGGTATTTCTACCTATATTATATTCTATAATATTTATGTTTAAAAAATGTTTGTTTTCTTATACCTATAATTTAATTTTTATGTAGATATAATCTCAATGGACGATAAATGTAATAACAGTATGATTAATGAATATAAATATTTTGACAGTCCAATTTGTGATATTACTACATTAAATTCACATGGTAAATTTTATTTATTATGAAAATTAATTTCTAGCTAAATAAGTAAATGTTTCTATAATTCTAATAATAAACTAATTAAAAAATATTTTTTTCTATGTATTTAAAAATTCTACTTTATTATGAAAAACTTTTGATTTTATTTATAGCTTTTATACTCCAATAATTTTTTTTAGGCTTATTAATTCGTCAGAAAACAAAACTATCCTACTTTCGATGTAGTTCAGATTCTGAAATAAGCTTGAAGAAAAATGTAATTTATGATAATAAAGATATTCCACTAGTAGATGCTGATGGATTTTCTACCAATTATTGTACTGTTGATGTTAAAAATATCATAAAAATTTGGAAGGATCAGTCAGTATTATTATTTTATAAGTTTAAATAGTAGAAATGAAGTCACATTTATATTATATACAATAATAAAATACATTTAAAATCTGCTTCTGAAATATTTTTTATCTATTAGAAACAATTGGTTAATAAAAATTTACAATTTTTTCTTAATTTTAATTCAATTTTTTTGTGAGTTTATTTTTAATAAAATATTTTACTTGTATATAACAAAAATATTTTGATTAGTTAAAATTGTGTAACACAAATTATTGCTCTAGGTATTGTACGCAAGATAAATATTTTGAAGGAGAATTTATTCAAAATGATTCTTTCATGCATTTGAGTTACTTAGATAATCAGAATGATATTATTGGTGTTGTTAATAGAAACAAAGTTTTTTTAATTGACTCTAGGGTGATTATTGAAATGTAATTTTTTTTTTTTTTTTGTACATTATCATCTAATAAAATAATAATTTTAGATGGATATTTCTAAACCTTGTACAATTTATGATCCACAAGCAATTTTAGAGGGGTGTGAAGAAATTACAACAATTCGATGTAGTAGTTTTAATGCTCATAGTTTCTATATTACAACAAATCATTCAGTTTTAACATTGGATAATAGAATGGGATTTTTACATAAATCTTCCCATATGCTGACTATTCCTCCATCATTAATAACTACACATTATTTTGAAAATAGGTATGAGAAATAATTTTATTTTTAAACAAATTGTGTAAAACATATCAAAATTGAAATTTCAGTTTTGAGCCTAATGAAATGTTAATCATGGGAAATCAATCTAGTGAATTTCTTGTTCAACAGACATTTGTGTCTTTTGAAGACAATTTTTTGAAAAGTCAAACATTAGCATCATGTATTCCTCATCCACTTGATTTGTTATGCTCTAATCAACATCAAGGGTACTCTTTACATCCAAAATTAAATAGGAGGTTTTCTCGTCCTTTAACTGGAGTTACTGTTGTTGGAAAAACTATTGAAAACTTGCAATTGTTTTGTATTAATTCGATTGGAGACTTATTTGTACAAACTATTAATAAAAAAGTGCCAATTACTAAATCAAATCTATTAATTGATTATGAATTTTATGAATCAAGTGAAGACAAAAAAATTTCTCCATTAATGTATTCTCATTTGACTGATATGAGTATGTTATTGAAAATAAAACCTTCTAATAATATTGAAGAAAAGCGTGGCTGGGGAGGGTTATGGAAAATGTCTAAAGAACAAATGTTTTCATACATGGATCATACTGCACCTTTGATATTATCACCATGGGACCTAGATGATATTTCTGAATGGGAAAAAGAAGATGAAATTTTTGAAAAGGATGCAGATGATGATTTTGAAGATAATTTTGTTAGTAAAATTAACTATTGGTTTAATAAAAATGACGAATTATTATCGGATAAAGATCCAGCTAGTATTGACACTTCACCAAATGAGCTGTTGTCTCAAATGGATGCATCTTCAGTCAGTGATAATTCTAGTTCTGGTAAATATTATATTTTGTATATATCTTATAATTTTTAAGACAATTTTTTTTTTTATAGGGTATTCTGTTGAAATAAAATCTGAGAATGAAAATGAACATTTATAGTTTTATTTATATATTTTTATATTTATACCTGACAGTAAATAACTTTATTGTTAGAAAGTATTTTTCTTCTAATAGTTAATATAATTTATATATNATATATATATATATAAATAGTCTATAGTTTAAATAGAATAGTTATTGTATTTAATTTGTATTAAAACTACTAAATGTAACTTACCAAAAAAAATTGTTATTAATTTTGTATTGTGTAATGATATTGCAATGTTTTTTTTTTACTTTTTTACTGAAATAAATATACCTATATAAAAAATGTTAGAAATTTTTTATCCTTTAAGACTCAAACTCCAACTGTAAATCTATAAAAGTATTTTTATCATCAACATTTTTAATGAAAGTGAATAATATACTTTTTCATTATTTTACATTAAACTATTAGACTTTATATTTAATAACCTATATAACTAAAGCTTAAATTCAATGAAGCTTACCGAGATTTTTTTTTTAAAAACTATTTGATTGTATAATTTGAAATATACTGAGTTTACCTGAGTCATTATACATTACAGAGTAATTGACCAATTAACTGGTGTTTAGTTACTTGATCAGTAACGAAAAGGTTGCTACCAGAATTTGAATAGTCTGCTGCTAGGTTACTAATTACTGTAGGCATTTATCTGAAAATTGCAGAGAACTTTACACTTTGTATCTTTTTCTTTATATCTAGTGTAATAGTGGATTGATCAATAACAACTTTTACCAACGTATCAGAAGTTATTAACATTTATATACTTAGGCGGGAGGAAAAGTTAGACCAAACATTTCTAGTGATAAAAATAACAGCATTCGTGCCCCACTCCCAGTCATTACTATAAATTGTTAATATCTGAAATACTAGTTCAAAATTGTTTTCTATCAGTCATTTTCTTAATTATTTTAAATAAAGATCGATTAATTATGTGTGGTCTTAAAACAAAAAAAAACAAGTTGAAAATCCTTATTTTGCAAATAAAATAAATATAAAAAATACTATATGATTGACAAATTGAGAAAAAATAGATTAGGTAAGCGCCCATGCTGTTGTACGTATTCTCTGCAGAGTAAACGCGTGTAAAGCTTCGCTTGCGTTCCATACCCACTCAATGTATTAGAATACTTGTAATTTGATTATTATTTGTCCTAAAACTATTATCGACCATAATACAATTTTTTTGCAAAAAAAAAGACTGAAAAATAACCATTTCAAAATCTATACAAAAAAAATTGAATTTTTTATGTTAAATAAATAAAGAGATAAATAAGTAAAAAAACATAATCTTAAGAGTCTTACAGTAAGTAAGATAATAACTTTAAGTCAATTTTTGTATAATTGCATCACTGAGAACAGACATAACGATTCTAGATATAAATAATTTTCAGATTGATGATACAATGGACAACTATTATTTTATATATATAAAAAATATTTTTAATTAAATCTAAAACATTAAAATGAAAATATCACAAGAAAAATATCATAATTTAAGTTGATTCAATAATATTTAAATTTTTAAGTCTGAGATTTAATTAATTTAATAATTTTAACAAGTTTTTCCCGATGATAATACAAAAACATTACTTTATGTTTACTGATTATCTTCAGTTACTTAGAAAAAAGTATTTTTTTAAACCATTTATACGTTCATGCACTGACGTAAAATAAATCAAAATTACATTAACGGTATAAATAAAAATTTAAAAAAAATAACTTTTCAAATATATTAAAATATTCAATAAATATGTTAATATATTTTTCAAACCCCATGATTGCGACAAATACAAATTATAATTTGTTGAAATACTAATACTAACACATACATTGACCTTTCTTTTAATATAAGCGCATTTTGTCTATTATTTTACAACACACAAACTATGGTATAGTATCACATTATTTTAAATAAAATATATAAAAGTCCATGCTGGTAAAATGTAAATACAAATTTGTAATACAAAAAAAAGTACAATATCATTAATCTACTATTAATGTTGATCAGATATCAAAATTTTAGGTAACTTAGTTGCCACATCTGCAAGCAAATGTAAATTATAGTTTTCATTTATGTCTATTTTTTCCATTTGAAAGTGTGACATATTTGAACTCTGTTTACTATTTGAATGCATTATTACATGTTCTATGAAACGTGTTTGATTGAAATAAGTATATCTTTTGATCCTCATTAAAATGAAATCCTTATTCGTGGACTTTTCCTTTAGAATATTAGGTAAAATTCGGCGGCGACTATTTATGAACCAGTTATAAATCTAAATTAATATAAAATATGAATTAAAGATTAATAAACAATATAAATTTTAGTTGGAAGGCCGCAGGATTTTGAAATTATCTTTTATAAAAGTAAACAAGTTAAAATTTAAAACTAAAAAGCTTTTTATTAATTTTATATACTTTTCCTTCGAATACTTAATAAAAAATTGTATACATTGCGTTTTTGATAATAATTCGCTTGGCGTTCACCTACCTTTCAACCATCAGTCAATACGGCTATGACTAGCAATATTACAAATCATAGAAAATAATTATTACTTGATTTTTAGTCAAGTTGGTGACTTCCATTAAAATTTTTTTAGTTGTTTCAGTTGGATAAGGATTAGTGTAATTTTCTTCAAGCCATTTAGTTAGAATATTGACAGCTGCTTTTGGTAGATTAGGTCTTTTCTGTGATCTAACAGTTACTTGAATTTTTTTGTTAATTTTTGCCATTGGTTTTTCTATAAAAAGACATTTATATCTATTAATAAACGATCCAAATTATTAAAAAAATAAAAATAAAAGGATGATCAAAAACTCACTTAAACTAATATTTACAAATGATTTTCTAATTTTTATTAATCTAATTACCTTTACGTGTACCGGCTTGCCGGTTAATTGTAAGTCGGTTCACTTCATTCTACTGCTGTCAAAAACTATTTATAGTTGAGGCATGTGCGGTCTAATCTAAATGTCAAAGAGAGTAAAATTCGTCACGTGATTGAATGGTCATTAACTGTCGATTATATGACATCGATTTAACTGAAATCTTATTGAATTTTGTCTTTTAAATCAGTTATTTACGTTGAATTTTGTTCAAAACAATGTTACATTGAGTGTTCATTTCTTAAATAATTTTTATACTTATCATTTAATAATAATTAATCAAGGTGATCTAAAATAGTTCAATCAAAGAAAACCTCCGGATGTACGCACTAGGTTCAATTTCAATCTACTAAATGGACCTTACAAATATCTCATGTAAGTATTTCCTTTTATTTTACTTAAAATATTAAGCTGCTGTTATTTACATTTCTTTTTTTATACCGTAAACTAGGTTTACCGGTTAACTGATCAATTATTTTAATATTTACAATGGGAATCTCAAAATGGTATTGGTATCTAAAACAATTATATTTCATACTAAGCTTAAACATTTCATTTTAAAATTATTATTTTTATTTTATTTTAGTAACAGTTATTGAAGTCAAACGGCGTTCGGGTATCTTTGATAACCTATTTTATTATGTATATAATAAAATAAAAACATTGTCTTATCAAAAATATCGATAAAAATTTAAATTTAAAATTTAAATATAAATATGCTTATACTGCGCATAGATTAATTTTAAGATGTATTATATTTGTTTTTAATAGTATTATATTAAAAAATTTCTATATCTCTAAATATTTGATTTAAATATTTTATTGAAGATATCTTTAAATAGAGCAATAGGTATTCCAGTATCTAAAGTGAAAATAGCTTTAAAACCATATTTACAGTAAGAATTAATCTAAAATAAAAACGGTGTTATTAGATAAACCCTACTTTTAAAGTCACACAAATTTAGTAATATAAAAAAATAAGGAAATTAGAAAACCTAATTTAAATTAATTTTTAAAGTATTTATGACTATTTTTTGAAAACTACTTGATTTTGTGTTTCAAACTAGCTATTTTTCAAATCCTTTAACCCTAAAAATAAACTTTAAACCCAACTTGTTCTTTTTTGATTCTAAAACTTTCTTAAACTTTCATTTTAAAAATTGGGTTAAGTAAATTAAATTGTATACTTAATAATATTGTTTTTAGGAATATAATGTTGCTGTAACTTTTAAAATAATATTTAATATTTTAGTATCTAATTTTTGATAACAACCGTCGGAAAAAAAATTCAACGGTATACAAGAGTACATGGAAAACGTTTAAAGACCGAAGTTAACTAACAAAATAAATTATTAGTACTAAGTAAGAATGCCGTCGTGTCTCACATAAATTAAGTAAAAACGTCGCAATTATTTTTACAGATAAGACGTTATAGTCTAATTACATATTTATCTATGCTACGGTGGTCTTGTTTAGTAATTCTGTTTTTTCCAGTAGTGGCATTGAATAATAGTTTTTAAATTGTTATTATCACTAGTATATGGAAATTTTTTTATCACAGATGACACAATAAGTTTATTTTCATATGATTATTATTTGTTAGTATTTTCATAATCGTTTTAAATGTATTATTCCTTTTTTTTTAATTTTATGTTTTATAAAACGATATCTGTTTTAAAATTATATTAAAAATTATAAAATAATATTAACTTTGACAATTTTAAAATTATGTTTTATTTTATATTTTAATATTTTATATAAATTTTTTTGTATTATTAAAAACGGTCAACTCAAAAATTATCTACTTTGCGTCAGAACCTTTTCATTCTTCAACGACAATAATTGTCGTTGAAGAATTGTAAATGTAAAAACATTGAAAATGTAGTTAATTATTAACTAATGATTACAGAGAATATCTTATGAGCTAATCTACTTATAAAACGAAGAATAAATTTGTGTAAAAATTAATGTAAGAATTAATTTCATGTTTGATATTGTCCTATTTTTCTGTATATATATTTATATATACATATTTCTATGTTTATATAAAATAAAATTAGTATTATTGTTCATAATAATAATCATATATTATACAAATTTTAAACAGCAATAAATTAAGTGAACACGTTATTTTCAATCACAATAACAAATACCTTTCAAAATTGGCATTTTCGCAAGTTTTATTCTAGGTAAACAATCTGCTTGGTGTCCGTATTTATTAATTCTAAATACTTGACCAATTATAACAAAATCTTCGTCATTATCTTGTGACTTGGTTTCTATACCTAATGTTGCTTCAAAATACCCATCTCCAGGTTGAGCTTTAAACGTTACTTGAACTGATTTTTCGTAGACTTTGTTGTTGTATTTTTGAGGAGTTTCATACAAATAAACATCTTCCACAAAAGCTAGTTTCATCTTCGCACATTCTTGAAGATCCTCTAGTAATTCATTGAAATAACTATAAAATAATATAATTTTAAAATCTTCAATAAATTAAAAAAAAATATTTTATTTTGATCAAAAAAGTTTGTTGGAGATTTGTTTTATTTCTTCGTTATAATTTTAAGTTTATTTTATATTTATATTTATTAATCAAAAATTAAATTTACTTTAAGACTTTATTTGTAGCAGCAAGACTATAAGGATGATTTGGATCTAGTTGTTTTTGTTTTCCTTCATGACAAACACAAATCCATTGTGGTATACCAGCTTCATTGCAATCCCTAGTTAATGGAATAGAGTTAAATAAAGATATTCCAGTGCTCTTTTCTGAGAAATGACTTTTAACAATACTATTATTGATTTCTTCTAATGCTTTTTGATAAATTACAGTTGATGGATTCAGGCCATTTATCGTACTCAATACGTGTCTAAAGGTTGCATAGATATCAAAAGTAGAGGTCAGTCTCATACGATTATCACGAAGAGATGATTTCCAAGATGGATACGTGACTTTTACCCATTCAGGAGTTATTAACGTAACCATTGGCATTCGGTCTTCTATAGTTCCGATTTTAGTTCGACGGATGAAATCCATTCGATTTCCATGGTCACCCAATACAAAGACAATAGTTCGATTAAATAATCCCTCTTCAAAAGAAGATTTCAAAAAATTCATGTAATCCAAATCGATTACCTGAAGAGAGACACTTGATTCAATTAAGGTAAGTGATTATTGTTAATGAGTATATTAAAATTAAGATTATAACTCACTCCAACTGTGTTAACAAAATCATGACTAGCTTCATTAAACAGGGAAAATAAAAATATTGGTGAATCTCGGTATACTTTCATAAAAGATTTTAAGTAATCAAAATAAATTAAATGCTTAGGCGTAGGTCCAAGACAACTCGGTGAGCTCATTTTGTACAACATTGATTGTTCAACAGCCAACCAAAAGGTACGCATGTAGTGTAAAGTAGGTTGTATTGTTATTCCTTTGGCTAAATAATCGAACATATTAAATTCGGGTTGATCTTCTGCATAAAGAGTTGCTACTTTTTCTCTAAAGAAATCTTTCCATATATAAGGCCAATCCTAAAAATATAATGCGTATCACAATAAAGCAATTGATATTAGTAGCTTCAAAACAAATATTTGGTACATATTAAAGAATATATCTAAGAAGGAGGTTCAAGTTTATATTTTACCAATATGCCATCTAAAAAAATTCTTACTGGTAACGCTCGTAATCAAATAAATTCTATTTTATAATTTTATTTTTTAAATATGACTTACATCAAACCTGTTATTATGTTCAGTTAGAAAAGGTCGGCCTGTTAACATTGGAATAACGTTCGGAAATGTATTTTCGCCAACTTTGGTGAAACCATACATTACATCTCCATCAATTTCTTTAGTTAAAAAATTATAAGATTTAGGCATTTGCCTCATAAAGTTCAGCCGAGATATCGAATCAATGCCAATGACAGCTACTCCTAATTCATCATGATTCTGATTATACAATAAACAAAATAATAATTTATTAAAAAATGAATAATATTAGCGATCTAAATTTCTTACTTTAAATTTTCTAACTTCTGGTCTCCTCCTGGCGTAGGCGTGGAAATTGCTATACACCGTTAAACCAATAAAATTAACACAAGATACAAAAACAAAGTCGGTTTGAGGTTCATGGAGATCAATAATAGGAATCTGTGGTCCATATATCACATGAAAATCGTCATTCTTTGGACGATAGATTTCTTGATAATTACATTTGAGACCATTTGATTTTAGAGAATACCCTGATTCTTTGAAACCTGACTTGTTGAATTGTAGAAGCCCAGTGTTCATGTCGATAAATGTCAAACGATATGACCTTTCCATACATCTATTATAATTTAACAATACATTTATTATTAAAATACGGTAAATAATAAAACAAGTACCTACCTTATTGGTTTTGGTATGAAGACGTATTTTAGAATTGATGCATGAAACGGATGTAAAATAGGGAATTGACAATTTACTCTTGAATCCCGTTCGGTTAAATTCTAAGACAAATATGATTGCAGACATTGCATGTTATAGACAGGACTGTATAAAATTTCAGACTGGGATAGCTACATAAATTGTGGTGCCCCTAATTTTTTCTAGGGTCGCCTTTAAATTAATATTGATTACAAAAAAAAATTTGTTTATTTTTAGTATACTGAGTATACTGAGTACGATATACTGAGTATCTCAGACCTCACTGACAACACTTATGAGTGTTGATATAACTATAATTTTGTTAAAAAAATTTTATTTAGTAATTATTACCTTCTTTAACTTTATTTAAAGCATATTTTCTATTATTTATCATTAATAAGAAAAAATTTTCAGAAATTAAAAATAGCTATTTTTTAGCCCATTTCTTACAAAATAATTTGATGGGTTGATTTGTATTTTAAGACAAATACTCATTGTGTTACAAACATTTCAATATATAGAGTGGGTATGGAGCTCGGGTGGAGTATGCGTTATAAATATATACCAGTAAAAGTCTTACCCTACCGCGTTTCATACTCACTTAATGTATTAAAATGCTTGTAATTCAATAAATACTTGTCCTAAAATTGTTTTCAACCAGTAAAATTTTTTTTAAGAGCTAAAAAATTGCTATTTTGTAATACAAAATAAAAATAATTTTTTTTTGTATTTATTTATATACTAGGCTTCGCATAGCTGGGGCTCCGCCACAGACCTGAGGTCCTTCGAGTCCCATGCGCCTTCGTTGCATAAGTCTCTTTGGACCATCCTCATAAGTAGGCTATTGATTCCGATAGGAGTACTAGGCTACGCCGGGTACGATAAGTGTTATACAGTAATAATATTATATCAAAATAAGCGTAACAAAAATATATTAAAAATTTAATTAATATAATCAGAAAAATCTAAAAAGAGAAAATAGTAAAATGTATTGGGTATAAGGTTGACATTTCTTTATTGAGTTATTCAAATGGAGCGTATTTTATTTTTTTACTTTGGTAAATCTGTTTAGAAATTTTTTGCTAAAATCACGGTGATGATCAAAAAGAAGGTTATTAGAGCCATAGTTCATAGAAATCGGCCTAAAAATAATGATAGCGCTAGTTCAAGGAGGGCAATCGCCCATATTCCCCTTAAATACGTCCTTGATATACACAATAATTAATAATATTCTAATTATAATAATTTTATTAACATTATAAAATAATTACAGAAAAATTCGATAGGTTATTATTTCTGGGACTATATAAAAAAGTCATTTTGAGAAGAATATTGATTACTGTGATTTGACGTTGTACAGCATAGTTGTCATAATTGAATCTCAATTTTTACGATTAACTCATATTTATATATCATATATGAGATAAATATGATTATTAATATTGTACTTTTCCTATAATGAATGTACAAATTTATAGACTTATAACCGTGACGAAATTTGTATATAATTGATAAAACATTTCTTGATAAAATGTACAAAATTTATTGTTATACACAAATGCAAAATCATATCCTAATATAAACTCTGCTTGGGCATAAGAAAAAGTAAATTTGAACAGCATGTTGATTATAGAGCCAAATATATATATATATATATATATATATATATAAACTTGATTAAATATATCAACAAATTTTGTATTATAAACGTATTTAAAAGAAATTTACAGAAAGTATCTATATACTTTAATAAACCAAACATAAATTATAAAAATAACTAATATAATATTAAAACAAAAAGATAGTTAATAATCTAACCAAATCAATTCATACATGGCAACAATGACATGTATTAAATATGACTTAAAAATTCATTTTCTACAAATTCAGAGTCAAAATACAAATACGCACAAAAAATGAGACGATACTGTTACTTAAATAATAAGTGTAGACAACAAAAAAAAAAAAAGCTCGAGGATGGTAAAAATTGAACGGATTTAATTAATTTTTTTATGGTATCTCAGAAATGTCTTTGGGTGAGTCTAGTAATTATTTCAAACCTCAAGGAAAAATGATGACGTTGGCGAGAGTTTTTCTTAAAAGCGGTCAAAATTTTAAAATGCTCGTGGATGAGCGTTAAAACTTTTTCAACCTTCATCAATAATTTTACCAAAGTCTCGTGATAAAGTACTTTCGTTGAAAAAAAAATGTTTAAAATCGGCGTTCGCAAAGTAATTTTCCAGAAAAATGTTTTGTTATATTTATTGATTATTTGTGGTAAATAATAAAAATATCGGTTAAACGTAATTTAAGGAGGACATAATTATAAAAATGAAATTATAACGAAATGATAATTGTATTAAAAATTATAAGCGTTGTTAGTGAGGCAGTAGACTCTCTGTATATGTATTTGTATCTGTAGAATACGATAATCAAATCATATTCAAATTAAAATTGAATACAGGTTTTCATTTTTTAAATAATTTCCATTGTTTTTATTTAAATTTTTGATGAATTTATTTTAAAAATATTGTAGGTTTCCTTCTTAATAATACGATTTTTCCCTTTTATTTTGGTGGGTGATGGTATGGTCCTAGTCGAAGTAAATATGTTAATAAAATAGATAAATATTATATCATCATAATAGTTAAAATATATTTTAATTAAGTTATAATTTATCGTTAAGAATAAAAAAAATTATACTAACTTGATATATCACTAAATGCTCTAATTTTGGTCTAACCAATTCCCGTTGAACGTGATATACGGTAACTATTACTTTAAAGTAAGTATAATTTATAAAATTATTAATATCTTTTGGGTTAAAACTAAATTGATTACTCACCAATTGTTGTTACAAAAACAAATAAGTATTGTAAAAAGTAGTATGGTTCTTTTACTTGTAAACCAATTTTTTTATACTTCATGCTCTTTGATATTGAATCCAAATGTAATGTACACACATTTTAACTATTTGTATTAAACACAAAAAGTTTGAAATGCCTAAAAAAATGAATTATTTATTTACACAAACTTAACCAACAATAGAAAACATTTGTTAAAAAGTCTACAATGAATAAGTTTAATAATTAACAACATATATTGTTAGGACAAATTGTAAACATTTGAGTACACAGAAATGGAAGTTTTTGACGTATACTCAAGTGATGAAGAAACTCACTGCATATAGTTAAAAAGTTACAAATATAAATATTTTTAACTATACTAAATCCAATAATGAATTTTAAATTATTTTTATAACTTTTGTAATGTTATAAAAAATTAAAGAAAATCAATTTAAAATCGATTATCTCTCAGCTCCTGCATTATCAAAATCACATTTATTAAAAATATAATGGGTTTTAAAACAACGTTATTACCCTTAGTAATTTTTTTAGAAATTTGTTTCTAACTCTATTATTAAAAAATATATAAATTCAACAAAAAATAAATATAAAAAATTGAATTTGTATAATATATAATATATTTTTATATAACTTAATAACTCTAAAAACTATGTTTTTTTTTTTCGATAAATCATTACTAAAATAATCAAATGGAAACAATGTAAAAATAATAAGTAAAATAATATAATATAACAAATATAAGTATTCAAAAACAATCTTCTTATAATTTAGACTAAAAGAGATTATCTGAAAAACATTTCTAAAAACAGTTAACTAACGAAAGTCACAGCTGTTAGAAGTGCTGTACAGTATTAGTAACTGAAATGATTTATGACGAGCTATTAATGTTTGATGGACTTTTATTGATTATGATAGAAATTATTCAGAGGGTTCTTTTAATGTTATTTTATTACCTCAATAATGTTTGTAATTTTTTTGTCACAGTTGTCAATGTACTTTCAATTACGTTTTTTTAAATCAGCTTTTCAATTACTCAACTATATTGCAAATATCACGAACAAAGTTAATTGAAATAACCAATGCAACAAATTTTCTGATGTATAGAATCTATACACATGATTTTCTTATGATATTTAATTTTAATAATTAGTAACATAATAATTCATAATTTTACTTTTATACTTTTACTTTAGGAAAAAAAGGATCTTACTAAGGAAAGATCCATTATGTCATATGACTTATCAAAATGTTATTATTTATACGTTTACGTTTTTAATCACATCGATGAAATTGAGGAACGGTGTGGTCAAGTCGGTAATGTGGTAGTTCTTGACGCGAAATGCCTGGAGTTCAGAACTAGGTCATGGGCAGTTTTATTTGCTGAACGAGAGATCAGTTCCGAGATTGGAATCACTATCTTTGGCGATGGACTAACCGTCCCGGACTATCAATGGTTAAGAAAACCTCCCCTTTGGGAGAGGTCGCTATGAACCTTTAATGGACGAAAAATAACATGAAATTCTATGTATATAAAAAAAAAAAATTATCTGACTTTTGGAAAATAAACACAAGTGGTCCTTATTTACCTTATATACTAGGGATAATAAAGAAAAATCAAGGAATAATTTAATTTTAACTGATTAAGTTACAAGAAATATGAAAAGTAATAAAAGTTTTATTTTATAACAACTTGATACATAGTTTGCTATTCTTTGGAAATCTTCCAGTGTATAATAAACAAATTTTAAGAACGATTTTTCAGCGTTTTATTTTAATTAACCTAAATATAAAAAGGATTCTGTGCATTTCAATAGAAATATTGTGTAAATATTTTTGACTATGACATTTTATTGTACAAGTTCACGTATTGTCAACAAGTAATTTTGGATATTTGTGTAATATGTCTAAGATAATAAAAATATTTGGTGATGGGTTTATACAATTTTTATAATATTAAAAATAATTGTTATTTTTTTATTAACATTAAAAATGTGTTAAAATCTCAAATTTTAAATTTAAATTATTAAAAACAACAGTGTCATTAATACTGTATTATATTATAATTATTTACATGATGTATTTATGAATAAATACGTATTCGAGTGCTTAGTTATCAAATTTCTGTTCAGATTAGTTGTATATGATTATACATATAATAATACCAAGCAAAAATCATAAAAATTATTTTGTATTGAAGTGTCACTGATATATATTTTTTTCTGAATAATTTCTTTAGATTTGATGCCCCGACTTTCCTACTACTCTATATCAATTTAAAAGACATTGGCGATAAAACTGACGTGGTCCGAATTTTTCGAAAAATCTAATTTGTCAAAACTCCAATTCTCTATAAACTTAATTGTTATATTAGTGTAAATAATTACGAGGAAACTAAAAATTTAATGAAACGAACTATTATAAATGTATATATTTTTTAATTTAAAACTATTACCACTCTAAAAATAGGTTATAATAATTAATAGTGTTCTTAAATGTTTATAATAGGCTCATATATTTGATCAATATTAATTTTTGAATTGGTTCAATAAGTACCTTCAAGAGGTATTTAGGCTACACTCTAAATAATAACATAGTTCATAACTGAATTTAGTATGATTTATTTGTAGCTAAAATTATGTTTTTATATAATTTTAAAAAGAGATTTTTTAAATTGACGTGACGTTTGATATCTTAATCATCTCATTCTGATTGATAAATGCCTAAATGTACATGAACAATGTAAATGCCACATGAACGCTTTATTTATTTCCAATTATTTATTTATACTATTAGTCATTTATAATTTTTATTTTTCAAGGATTATTTAAAACATAGAACATTCTATTTAAAATTATAACCCTTTTATCGATCTCTACCATTTATGTTATTTTCAGTTTATTTTTAAATTATAATTTCTATAATATAAAAGCTTTAATTAAAATATTTTCGAGAAAAAATTTTAAGATATTTTATGACAATAAATTGTAGATATCAAGCATGAGTACGATGGATATTAATGAAAAATTTAAACAGAATTTTAATTAACTTCCCTTCATTTTAGCTATTAAAATATAATAACAATAAAATTATTAATTAACAGAGTAAAATATACCTCACTGAGTAAAAATAGTTATTGTGCTTACATTTTTTAGGCTTTAAATACAATATTGTATGTTCAATTTTATTGAAAAAATATTAAAGGTAACCAACATTTGATAGAATGATAATACCTATTTAAAAATTTTATGATGCCAAATTATATTCTTATACTGACATATTATTCAAACAATAATTGAATTTAAGGGATAAATAATAAAAAATTAAATACGTTAATGTAATACATACACTGTGTGAATGTTTCCATTAGTAAATAATTAAATATCATACCTTATTTTATAATAATTTAGTATGTTTGATAGCCTTTTGGAGTAATATAATTTTTTCATAAAATAATTTGAAAAAAAAAAATATTAATACATGAATCAATAATAAATAATCATTAAAACTATAAAAATTTTTTATTATAAAATTTAAATTGTTTTTTTAAATATGGTTAGAAATGCACATAGAACGTTGCGCTGTGGTGTTCTGTTCATACACTGTTTCATGTCAGTTGGTTGTAATATAATAGCTTACACAGTAACTCGTTTAACGTTTAGATAAGATTTTGTCGTTTACATTATTGTTAATCTAAAATGTTTAACTGTAAACTTAAAAATATTTTCTCCTTTTTAGCATTAAACAAACAATAATTAAAAAACTATTTAAATTTGCTGTTTTTAATCACATAGTAAATAAATTGAGTTTTGATTAATTTGAATGATAATTGAGTCAGCAGAGTTCGCTGAAGGCACATTATGTTAAGAATAACCCAGCGAGAAGTGCATCTCATAAGCCAAGAGCACACATGTGAGTAATATGTATATATTTAAACTGAGTCATAGATATTTGCATAAAAATACGATAATGCTGTCTTTCTAAAAATACTTAGACAATAACATTTCTTTGAAGGTTTACATTATTGTTATGTTCAGGTAAAACATTTTTCAATTTTTACATGATAACTCGTTAAGTAACATATTTTTCAAAGGTAACTATGAAGGTTATTAAATTTAAATATCTCAACCCTTAAAAAACATCACGTATCTGTAACAATACAATTTTACAGAAAAACCAAATATACGTTGTCATCTACTTTGAAGTTTTTTTCAAATGTATAGAATTGAGTGCTGACATTTTGAACTTACTTCAGAGTTTATACTCGTAGTAATAATTACATGTCCGAAGTTGTAACTAGTGATGGGTATAAAATAAACTTATTCGATTATGAAAGTAATAGGGTTATTTCAATTTTAATCGATTACTTAATTATTAATAAATTATTATTATTATTAATTATTATTAAAAAATAAAAAAACTTAATTATTTTAATGATTGCTATTTCATTCATCTTTTTTATAATAATCTAATTAAAAGTTGAGTTATTCAGTGTATCATTTGATCACCGAGACAATATATAAACAATTGAAGATTGTACCCAACACAAATAAAAATTATTATAATTTCATGTCTTGTGATTGTACGTTTTATTGGATTATATCTATTTCTAAACACTCAGACACATGACGTTTGAATAAAACTGTTAATATGTGCTAAATAATTAATCTATTAATACTTTTATTATAATTTATAAAAAATTGGTAAAATCTACCAATTACTGTTATATTGTTATTGTTATTGAATTATCACGGATGTTTGAAATACATAAATAATCGTCGTTAATGATATTTTACCATTATTCATAATATCATCGGGGTTATTAAAACTTAAAATCCATTATTTTGATTACAAAAGTATCTCAATTACTGAATCGATTGTGCCCATCACTAGTTGATACTAAAACGTCAGCACTCAACTGAACACACCTGAAAATATTTTAAATAATGTAGTAATTCATGAAAGCTTTAACACATTCAGAACATGATATGACATATAAAACTATAATATTCGTTATTACTATTTTCCATTTTACAAAACTATAAGTATACGAACAATTTTGTGGTAATAAAAAATGTGCACAAAGATCCTGATTATTTTCATATAATGAAGAAAATAAAAAAATGCAGATAAATAGTTATTAGATTTTAATAGCAATATCATAATTAAATGACATATTTTAAATAAGTAAAAAATTCTTATGTTTTAACTTGTAAAGTAAAGTGTATCAATTTTACATATTTTGAATCTTTTTTTTTTCCCTATTACTTTATTTTAAAGATGAATATTGGTGTCAATGGATTATTGAATTACTTAATTTAAGATAACTATATCAAATGTTATTTTACTAAATGTTTTTCTTCTCCTATAAAATATACCATTCTGGACATATAACCATTGAGAATTAGACAAATCAATATCCATAATCACATAATATATGATTATGAATACTGATAGTGACTATAGTATATATACAGTCTAGTCATAAGTTCTGTCATAGTTTATTAGCAATGACAGAATATATTAAGAATATAATTATAGTCTTAATAACTCGCGAATAAAATTGGTAGAAACTTAACTTTATATCTTTAAAATGAAAAGAAAAAGTGTCTTTGAAATGCGTATAATTTTATTTAATTTTATTTTCTGCCATCATAACTGACACAATCTTTGTGCCTAGTTACCTATGGTTTCTATAACTTTAAGAGAAATTTTCGCTGTTGTTATCTCTGCTACCTAATGAATTATGCCTAATATGTTTAAAAGCATGAGAATTTCTCAAAATATTCTACAACTAATTATCAAGAGAATTTTAGTTGGGACTTCCTCTCGACAACCAGTCAAATGCAATATTGAAGAAAGAAACATTTTTAACTTATTTATTGTGGAACATGTTTCATATTTTATATAGAAGTTGTATCCAACTGAAAGTTTAGATTTAGCCCTATAAAAAAAATAAGTTGTTGGATTCTTTTTGAGAAAGTTCCTTTATTTCTAGGCATTTAAGGAGTAATATATTGGATATTTTGAAGAGACTTATTGTGAAAACAGCAGTAGATATTTTTCTAAGCCTTGCTCATAACGATAGGTGACTAACCATAAAGATAATGTCAGTTTTTTGTAGTAAAAACTGAACTCCTTAAATAACTTATATGTATTTTAAATTTTTTTTGTCTTAACAATGTATAACTAAACCTAAGGTTTTTCTTTCGTGAGTTATTTAAGGTATGAGCCGTGATAGAACTCTTGGTTAGTCTTTGTGTAATATTATATATATTTGTATACTATAAAATCCTATACACAGAGAACTCATTAAAATTGTTTAGACGTGAAAGTTTTGTAAAGCGTTTTTTATCACGTTGGTATGACAACAATCTAATAGTGCATTTTATCTAACAAACAATTCCTACAGAATATAAAAGTTTAAATTTTAAGCATTGTGAGTTTTTATCGAAATAAAATTTAAAAATGATGTACGGTGGGAAATATCCAAAACCAATACCTCCAAAATCTGAACCTATGCATTTCAATAAAACATACAAAGGACCTGTTCCATATTCTTACGCTATGGTAAGAAAAATACATTTTTTTTAATAAATGATTATATATTTTTCAAGCAATACCATATAAAAATATGTGTAGTTAGTTTTAGAAATCAATTAATCTGTGTTTTTATACGAAATTAAGTTAAATATTATGATAATTTGCAATATAAATAAATTTGTTTTTTTTTTTACCATCGTTTAGTAGTATATGTGTGGGTGTCATTCATTTTTATCAGCTCTCACTTGACCAATTTTACTAACCAATACGTCAAAAGAACACGATTTTAACCATGTTGAACTTATTATCATCATATATTGGAAATAATCCTTTAATTCAAGCAAATTAGACAAATATCCCAAAATTATGATGCTGTATAAAATACTCCAAAAAAATGTTTTTTAATTAAACACCTCCAAATTAAAAAGACCATAAAATTTGTTTTTATATAGAATTACACAGTAAAATCATACCACTAAAATGAAATATTTTTAATGATTGTAGAGCAATATATACTTTACTAAAACAAACACTGATTTCAAGTTTGTAATTAGATGTTTGCTAATTATTATGTTATCTCTTTTTTGAGATTATTACTAATTAGAAAACTAGTATTTACATATAAAAAATTTAATTAAAAAAATAGTTTTTATCGTGTTATTATTCATTTTTAATATGTTAAAAATAATCTGTGCACAATTTTAATTAAAAATTTCATTTTTAACTTATTTTAATGTTGATTTTTATGAATGTTTATAATTTAAAAATGTTGAATTTTTTAACACTATTTTAGCTCAACTTGCAAGTTTAGAATTTATATTATTAAATAGATTTATTCATAATTAACAACAGATCATCTTCTGGACATTTTTGTATCAAGCCCTTCAATTTTTAACATGTTTGCCATAAAAGTAACAACTACCTTATAACTTTCTTATAAATTCTCTTTAAAAATTACTATACTAAATTATTAAATTTCAATTTCATACTATATTTAATTGCTATAATAAATATTTATACATATATTACACTTATAAATCATAAAACTTGTAATCAGGATATAAATAAGGAAAAAGGAGATCATGTTGCTTTTGGAATAATCCACTAATTTCGTAAAATTGAACACTATTCACAGATTTGCATCAAAGCGTTGCTTATGATAGTGATTTTAATCACTGTCAGGTATCATCTTTAATTGTCCCAACTATGCCACGTCTATACTGTGTCACAACCCCACTGTGCTATCGTTTTTTAATATAATTTTTTCAGGGAAATAGAATACACAAAATAATTTTTTACTATCGTCTCTAGACAAGTAAAATTATATCTTTACTATGTAATTATTTTCATCATGAAGGATTCCATATCTCATAAATATGTCGTATATTTAAAAATATCATAAAATGATTTTCTATTTAGACAATTTATTTACAGTAAAAGAGTATAACAAAATATAAGATCTTTTGTTTAGTTTTAAAATTGAAAGAATATATTAATGGAATCACAAAAAAAAAACCTTGGGTCTTACGATTTTATTTATAAAATATTCATCGAATATAAAAAAGTTATTCTATTTAATTTTCTGATAAATGTTTATAATGTTAGAAGGGTAACTTTAATTTAAAATTGTCAAGTAATTTAATGAAGAAAAGAAAAATGTAACTAACTCTGTTTCTCTGTTCTTAAATAATGAATAGTTTTAAGGAATAAGAATTTTCCGATTTCTCAACTTTTTATCATAAAAAAAAAATTATGTATTTTAATTTGTCAAGCAAAATGTCTTTTAATAATATAAAATATTATTTTACACCTTTTAAAACTTTATATTAACCATAGTTTGCAATCATAGAATATTCGAAGATTCTAGGAAAAAACATCTGGGTTAAAACTTCTATTACATTAAAAATAACTACAATTTCCTTGCTACAACATCCGTTGAATATTACATCCATTATTGCAGGTTTATAATATTAAAAAGTGAACTAATCCCAATTCATTATCTAAAGTGTAATATAATTTGTTACTGTTAATATTGTTTTCTCAACTTGTTTCTGTTATAGTATAATATTTAAAAAGACTATTTTGCATTTATTTTCCTAATAAATTAAAAAATTTATTTTGGGAGGTTTTGTATAATATTCATTTCTATTTAATTTTTTATAAAATAACAAATATTATAGTTAGGTACTAATCTATTCCTATATTGAGATAATTTTTTTTATTAAGTATATATGTTTGATATAATGATCAATATCATTTTTAGTCTTTGAGGGGAGACAACTTGGGAACACTTTTCATTTTTTAGGAACTATAGTTCCACCTCCTAGTTTTTCTCACATTAACCATTAAGTATTAAAAAAAGTTATTATATTATCACAATAATGGAGTTAAAAAACTATTATTGCATTATTTACACAATATGTGAACAATATAAGTAAATTTTAATTTATAAATTTTAATAATAAAAAATCTTAACGTACTTTACTTACACAGTTTTCATAATTTAATAGTTTAGGACAAATACTTCATAATGGATGTTTTTAACATAAATAATTTTAATCTATTAATATATTTAGTACTATGATTTTAATTGTCTCATATTTTATTTGAAAATATACAATCACTATTGTAAAGTCATATGTATAACGATAATATAAAGGAATATATTTGTGGATTTGACGAAAGTTATTGTTAGTTAGCTAAACAACCAGGAAGTGATTATAGAATTCGTCTTCGTGAAATGGAACGAAATCGTATCGAAAAATCGAGGATACAAAATGAAGAAGATTTCAAAAATTTAATTCGGAATGCACAACATAAAAAATTAATCGAAGTAGCAGATAGAAAATGCCTTTATAATCAAATAAAAAGAATGGTCGAATGTGGAATGAAAGCTAATGAACATTTATTTATGGAAAAGCGTTCAGAGTAATTAAAAATATTTTTTTATTTTTTTACACAATGGCTAAGTTTTCTTACATATTATTATTATTGTTTATACATATCCAATCAATATTAATAAATATTTAAATAACTTATTAACGTAATTTTTATGATCATACTAATTTTTGCATAAAGTACTCTGTAAATTATGACTATAACTTATTAATGATATAATTTTAACTGATAAAAATTTTTAACACAAAGACTAAGTATTTTGTGTTTTAGTCAAAACTAGTTTATTTAGTTTTTGTTGATAAATTAAAAATTTCACTGAATTTTCTTTTAGACCAGAACCAGTAAAAGAAATAGAAGAAATATCAATTAATCCTGTTGAAAACATGAAAGCAAAAACAGAAATATTAAAAAAACAAAAAGAAGAAGAAGAGAAAAAGATTGTTGAAGAGAAAAGATTACAAATGTTTATGTAAGCTTATCAACATCAAGTAAATTTTTTATTAAATAAGATTGTTAAAAAATTGTGTGAAATATAATTTTAAATAAACATTAATTCATTTAAATATTGAAAAATATAATTGAATACATTTTAAACAATTTCTAAATATAAGATTTTATAATAAATATAGTAAAATTTTGTATTCTATAATTTTTTTTTTACTAAAAATTTTAATGTATTATTCCCAAACTTAGAGAAAACTCTGAAGACTTAAGATCTGCAGCAATAGCCAAACGACAAAGAGAAATTTCAGATATAAATTATAAAATCATATTAGAGAGAGAAAAATTGAAAAAAGAACAAAAAATCAAACAAAAAGAGATTAATAATGCCAAACATTTAGAAAATATTTGTCAAAAAGTGAGAAATAGTCTTTAAATTATCAAGATATTAATAACTACTTAATTTTTTAACAATACAGGCTGCTGAAGAACAAGAATTAAGAAGAAAAAATTTTGAGAAGAAATTGAATTTAAAAAAATTATTGACAGAGCAAGTTGAACAAAAAGCTTACCAGCAAAAAAAAGAAAAAGAAATGAAAAAAGTCGAACAAGAAGAATTAAAGAAGATAATGAATGAATTACTGGAAAAAGAAGAAAATGGTGAGAGTTATCATAATCATAATGATCATTGACAATTTCCATTCTTATTTACGAAAAAAAATTATAAAAAAGTAAATTTTTATTTAGAAAAAATAGAGCGAATAAAAAAACATAAAAAAAGAGTTGAAGAAATAAAACAATTCACTGAAACCAGATCAAATTTATTATTGAAAAAAAACCATGCTTCTGAAATTTTTGATGAAACATTTGCTTTGACTATGCGACAAAATATACAAAACGATACCATAGATAAAATGGAAGCAAAGGTTTTTTTTATTAATTTATTACAATAGTATAAAAGATATATTCAAATAGTTTTTTTAGTTTTTATTCATCCTATAATATTTATAATTGATATATTAAATAAGGTGAAAATAAAACATGAAAACGAATTATTTATGAATCAGCAAAATGCAATTAAAGAAGAGCGAAAAAGGCAAAATGAAGAAATTTCAAGAATAGTATCAAACCAAATGAAGGAAATTGAAAAAATGAAACACCTTGCTCAACAAGAATTAGACACATCACGAAAGAAACGTATTGAAGTAAATAAATAATTACAATTAATTCTTTCAAAATAAAAATATTTCTGAAACTAAAATAACTAATAATTAATATAATATTTCTAAAAATATAAAAAGAAAATTATTATCATTAAATGAGATATTCTTAGTAGTAGCGCATTAAAAAATTTGTTTTAAGGGTTCACAGAACTTTTGGAACGTAGACTAGTGGTCACTTTCACACCTCAACTATTACTATTTTAGGTCAATGATTGAGCCCCTTGATAAGGATAATTGTTCTAATGATTTTTAGTAATGTGAAAATTATATAACAGTAATTATATTTTAGGAAAGTTACAGAATATTACAAGAGCAAATAGAATACCAAAAAAAACGGCTAGAACAAGAAAATAATATAAAACGTCAACTTTACGAAAAATCAATAAAAGACCATGAAGATTATTTAAAAAATGAAAAAAAACAATTGGAAAATAAAATAAAATCAAAATTTCAATTTAGAAATGAATTGACTAATCAAATTGAATTTAGAAAAAATATTATAGTAAGTAAATATTTAAATACAATGTAAGTATCGAATTTCGTACTTTACATTTTATTTTTAGGAGGAACAAAGGAAACTTGATTTAGAAAATCATAAAAAATATTTGGCTGAAATTGAAAAACAAGAAGAGCTACTTCAAAGTCTTCTAAAAAAATTGCAGCTAAAACATTAGATAGTAATGCGTATAATAGAAATGCTTTATTTTTTATCAAAATATGTTTCTTTTTAATAGTATAACAATGTGTTTTCTTTATATTTTTACGTAGTAATAATTTTCGTCTTAAAGAAAAATTATGCTTAGAACAAATACAAATTATAAATAAATAGTTTAAACTTTGAAAATTATAAGCTAAGTATAAAACAACACCCAAAAAAATATTAAAAATAATTTATTTAAAATTGGATTAAAAAAACGTATATTATTAAAAATTAGCTTCTTTTTGAAGGCTACTAGAAATTGTAAATGATAATAAATTGTGTAGCATTTTTCCAAAAGCTGATAAGTTAATTTTAACAATTTTTCAGGAGACACAAATTTAAAATATAAAGTGAGTCTAGAATGGAAATAAACGTTTTTTAAGTACAAAAATATACTCTCCCACCATCGTTTAAATTAACATAATATTTTATGATGGATGAGAAGTAAAACCTTTTTTAAAAGTATCTATAATAATCCCAAAACAGCATTTTGTTACTTATTAGCTTTTGGATTTAAACCACTGATTAAATCCAAATTCAAAATTCATTAATATTTTTGCTTTTAGAAAATTAATTTAAAATTTATAATTATCTATTATTTCAATATTTACGTATATTCATAATTTTAGAGACATATCTGAAATATTCATGTTAACTATATTTATATTTGTCACATTAATTTTAGTTCTTTGATCAGTTTTTATCGATGTGCAATTTTTTTTTTTAAAGTTAGCCTATTATTATCTATCTTAGTGTGAATTTTCAATGCCCTCATTATAAAGTTGCCGACTAACATTTACCAAAAGATCACACTCATATAATAATTTTATTATAAATTTGGATTTAATTAGTTTTGATTTATTTTATTTTTTAGTATTACTTTTTTAGTAAAAAATCGATACATTGATTTGAGAACAACATAAATTAAATAAAGTACTAAACACACAAAAAGTACAATAAAACTAATAGTGTCGATCAAAAAGTATTTCCACCAAGGCATGTCGATTGCCGCTGTTTGTAAGTGTCTGGCACCTTTGTGTTTAATTATATATTCAGTCCAGTAAATTACAGTTTCCGTTGGATTGAGTGGTCTATCTTTATACCTTTGGGATAATTTTTGTGCATTCATAAAATAGCTGAAACAAAATTTCAAAATAAAAATTTTTTTTATAGTACCTATGTATCATTTTTTTTTGTCCACTCAAAAACCAGTCAATTGAAATATATATAGTGTATTGTATATATAATGTATAATAATAATTAGTCACGTTTTTGGGTTTAATTTTTAGGGAATATATGTTGTTAGTTTTTGTTCTATTTTCTTCATAGTTGTATTTTCTTTAAGTAAATATTTTAATCTATTTTGTTGATCCCCTGTGTTAATTTTTATAATAATAATAATGTTCACGAACACAAATAAAAAAAAATATAACATTCCCCACCTGTTATTATTAATCATAGTCATAATGGCATTATAAAGTGAATCTTTTGTAATAGATTCATAATCAAGTAAGATACCAGAACCTTGATTGACAAGTTTTAGTATATTTCCTAGCTGATCAAAAAATAGAGGAATCCCAATAACTGGTACACCTGAATGAATAGCTTCAATAGTACCAATTAGACCTCCATGTGTCATAAATATGCGGACTTTAGAGTGACCTAAAATTTATAATAATTTAAAAAAACATTAACATTTTTTAAATTTGATACACTTTAAAATTCTAGGCTTACTTAGAATATCTCTTTGTGGCAACCAAGGACTAATAAACACATTATCAGGTTTATCTGGCATTTCTTTTTCGTATTTCCATAAAACTCTAATAGGCAATTTTGAAAAAACGTCTTTAAATATTTGAAGTATGTGCTTTGATATTGTTGACACGCGAACCATAGAACCAAATGTAAAAATCATAACTCCGTTTGGTGACTCTTCAATAAATTTTAAAATATTCTATTGAAATTAATATTTCAATTATTAATAAATAATTATCATAATTTTTAAATTTACAAAATTGGACATAATAAGTCTAATTTTCTGATTTTCAAGTTATTGAAAAGTTGTATTTTTTTTAAGACATTTTTTTTGGTATCCCATTACCAAACTTAATTTATCTAATACAATTCAAATTATAGATTTATTTATATTTTAATTATTTATTTATACATATATAAAATTACATCCACAACTGAATTTAGGAAAACAAGTTTTTGATTTACATATTTTTACGAAGAAATAATTTAAATGGTTTTACATAAACGAATTAAAAAAATTCGATGAGTCATTCCTTCTTAATAAACAATTTTAAGGCGATAAAGTTAACAAAAATAATTTAATTAATACTCAGTTTTTGTTGGTAGGATTTCATTGATAATTATTTNTCCTTCTTAATAAACAATTTTAAGGCGATAAAGTTAACAAAAATAATTTAATTAATACTCAGTTTTTGTTGGTAGGATTTCATTGATAATTATTTAAAATAAATAGTAATAATAGCTAAAAAAATTACTCTAGGTATTTTTTTTGGTGGTTGAATATGTATACCACCAATTTCCACCATATTAGGTACTAAAGGTCGTGCTCCATCAAATGAAAAATGGCTATTTGTAAAAATCATTGAAGTGTTGTAAATTATATCATTAATATATGGAGTATTGTGACCAAATATTTCTTTTAAAAATTTATCAGCTGGCCATTCACTAAAAATCTTCCACGCTATTTTAAAATAAATATAATAAATTGTATTAATGACTCGTTGTTTAAAGTTCATTTTCCCAACTGCCTTGGTTACAATAGTTGGTATGTAAGATGGATTATCGGGTCCTCCAATTCGATTATAACTCCAAGGTAGAGGATAACTTGACATAACTGATAGCAAAGGCGCTTTGAAATGATATGCAAAACCAACATCACAGTCTGCACCAAAAATTTCAGTAAATACCTTAAAAAAATATATAGGCAAGACTTAAAGTCCATTAAAAATATAGTTTAAAAAAAATGAAATATAGTTAAAAATAAAGTTGATTGTAATTAATTGTAAACAAAATAATTTTTAAAATTAAATAATAGTTTTAAGTATAAATATACCGCATCGAACTTGATATCACTTTGTAGAAGATCTTGCACATGTGGATTTTTTATCAGCCCTTGACAAAGTTCCAACTGGTGTTGTGCAATAAATTTTTGATTTAAATGTACATTAGATATTACATTTTGAACTAAATCCATGTTCATTGAATTTACATCATGTGGTAATATATTAGACACATCGATATCTATATAATTTGGTACTGGGGATTTTTGAGGAAATGAAGTAATAACAGTTATATTATGTCCTCGTGCGGCTAAAGTTTTCAATATACTTTCATACACTATCCAATGACTCATACCATTGACTGGGAATACGCCAAGAATATTGGCTCCACTAATAATGCCCAGGGACGCAATGAAAATAAAAAATATGAAAAATACTTTCATCATCTATTAAAAAAAATAATATTTTTTCCTTTAAATAATAGTATTTAAAGTAATCGTTTTGGTAAATTTTCAAAAATCATTATTATGGTTACATTACAAACCTATTTTGTATAAAAAACATTTTTTTTCTTAAATTCAATAATAATGTATAAATATTTATACATTACTAAAACTTAACTATAAACTTCCACTCTATACATATCAGTAGTGGTGGTCAAATCATTTTGCCATAGAAGAGGATAAGAAACATTTAAGGTAATAAATTTCCGTGGGCATTGAAATCTTATATTTCAAAATTTTTTTTATTTATATTAACTATATCAAGATATAATTGCGAACTAATAGATTCTTATTAATTTTTCAAAATATAAAATATAAAAATTATACAAAATTGTCTATTAGGGTATGTCAATAAGATATTTACCCCTGCCAATCGCTTCCCATTTGACCACCATTGCATATTAAGAGGGGAAATTTTTATTAATAATAATTTTCTCTAGTGTTAAGCCGCGCCTACCGCCGTAGGTGAACGGATGGGTGACCATGCTTGCGCTTCTACGGTGGCAAAAAAGCACCATGTTCCCAGTGCAGAAGGAAACGGGAAACCACTGCACTTAAATTTCCCCAGGATATACTAACCTAACGGTTGTAAAAAAAAAAATTTTCTTCAAGTTTAATTTTATAATTTTTTTTTAAATTTTATATGCATTATTATTATTGTACAGAATTTTTATTACTTAACTGTAAAACAAACTAAAAGCAAATCAACAAATTAACAGATTAAAAACATGATAGAACTTTAATAAATTAATTTGTTATCGCATTAAAAAGGAGATGTTTTTGCTTTCAATTTTTCACGGCATGAAACCGTTACACAAAAAGGGTTAATCGATTAGGGTAAAACCGAATTTCACTTTTAAAATGGTAACCGGCATTGGTAAAAGGTTACTGATTTTAAAAAGGCGGTTGTCAATTATAGTTGTTTAGAAAAGCAAAAAAAGAAAATAAGCATTAATTTCATAAAACTGGTTATTTATTTCGGTTATCGGAAATTGATAATAAACCAGTTAATAGTAAAATAAATTTTTAAAGTGCTTCATTTTACAACTCATAACTATTTTGATCTTAGGCAGTAGATTTTAGGACAGTATTTGGAACTATTAATTATTTTATAATGTACTAATTTATTTTACTTAATTGAAAAAAAAATATAATAAATTAAAAAAAACTATATTAAGTATAAATATTAAGAATTTATAAAAGGAAAACAAAGTATTTTCTATGCAATTATTTTCTTTTGTGTCAGATTACATTAAACTTCTAAATAAAATTATATTGACACAATAAATTAAAATTTAAATTTAAATGTTATTTTAATTGTATGAAACACATCTGAAGTAGTTTTACAGGTGTATCAAATAATGGGCTAGTACAAAAAAAATAAAGGGTTGTAAGAACTATTTAGAAAGTTTTAAGTTCGTTAGCTTTTTAAAAGCACTATTTTGGGAATGAGCTCATTTACTTATAAATTGTAAAAACGAAACACAATTGAATTATTCAAATTTTTAATAATGATATTTATATATTTCCATTTATCAAAGATAATCTATATGGTTATTGTTTATGATTTATATTTTTATTTATATCTATCAAACGTTTATAACACACTATAAATTGACACAATTCAAGTTTAACTGTTAAAAACTGATTGATCTCTTTATTACAATTAGTGATTTAGTTACTATTACGTTTTTGTAAACGCATGTTACAATGACGAATTAATTTATTTTAATAATACACGTAGCTATAGATGTTATTATAACAACAATACTTTTTGTCCTAAATATTAACATATGCATATCAATATAATGGGCTTCAGTTAACTATAACTTCAGCTTGTATCAGAGTAAATAATTTAATTTTTTCTAAATCGTTTGTATAGTATTTAATGATTCAATTTGTATCAAACCAATTTTTCGTTACTTATGATCCTTGTGCACAGTTCAATGTGAACGGGTATTTTATAACTATAATTTAGACATTTTTATGAAGTATATTTTCACAATGTATTTATCATAACATGTATAAATAATACAAATTTCTTTTTAATAACTTTAAAAGAAATTTTGTTAAATACTGAAAGTATACTCACATTTTTTAAAATCGATTTCTCTAACGAAAGATAAAAATTAATTCGTTAATTAGTTATTTTTTAACATTTTCAATAATAAAAAATTTATTTATCAATAATAAAAATCTAATACACATGATTGTGTATGAATTGCTTAAAAATAATTTTATGAATGCAAAAATATTTAAAATATGAACTATGCTTATAAAATATTGAAGCACGACATAACTCAATTATTACCATTCACTTTTTACAAGTGGAGACAACTGAACGACTGGTTATAAAAAATGGTATGGGTTATTTACTGCCACTTCCACTGATCTGTATTCGTTAATTGTGAGAGGTACGTTTTTATGATCTTTGTTCCCGCAAAACATGAATATATGTCTATTTAAACTTAATTTAAAATTAAATATAATCTGCAAACGTTTAAAGCTATCGATTTTTTTTTGTTAATTTTAAATAACACCAAACTTTACTGAATATCAAAAATGTTCTTTGTCCAAATAACACTTAATAATTGACAGTCATTTTTGTTTGAAATTCAATTCCTACTGATTGAATGATCTTGTGTAGAATATTATGTCAAAGCTATTGATTTAAATAATACAAATAATTTGATTTTAATTAATTATAACTTAATGGATTTACATAAACCAGAATCGGACTGACAGGCCAACGGTAGAGAAGGCATAATAATTGTGACGACACAGTTCGATTCAAAAATGATTTATATCGCTCAATGAAAAGGAATGATGAACAAAAAAAAGTTTAAAATCAGTTTTACAAACCGGAATACGTTAATCATAGCAGCCCTCCTTACTATATAGACATAATTGTCACTTTGCTTCCATGAGCAGTCTATCTTTGATGTACATTAAAAAAAACTATCTTTTAATAAACTCCTCTAGATACGTCACAAGTGAAATACATTATTTTATTTTGAATAAATTTAATTTTCCTCAAACTTAGCAGTTTTAAAAATAATGTAATCTGAAAATGAGAAAAACAATACTTAGAAATGTTTTAAGTAACTCCTAAATATGACTACTACTACCCAAATCTGGGCACTAACGCATTAAAAAGATAGAAGTTTAACTTTTTAACTAGTTAGTTTTTTATCACTAACGTATTCCATTCATCGAGAAGCTATTTCCTAATAAGTCGCTTTGTATTATACTTTAATAAGTTAAATTAATTTTTAGTAATTGTACTAAATAAAACAATTTTTTGTCCGAAAAATTCAAAATAATGAAAAAAACATATAAATAGTATACTGTGGAAGTATTGGATAGCTGTCAATGTTTTAAAAAGCAATAACAGAATAGTGTGGTATTTAAGTATTTTTAGTGATAATATAAAATGTTTCCTTGTAATTTTGAAAGTAAATAGTAGTATTCTATATTTCCTTTAAAAAAAATATTTTATAGGAACTACAAAAATTTGTACTAGCTTAATTTATTTATATTAAATGTTATTAAATTTTAAAGTAACTCGTAATTTTATTAAGTTGATTATTAAATTTAATAACTTATAACTAAACTTGACTTTTTTTATATCTAACTTACTACAAGTTAGTATACACTTTACACAAGTTAGAAAAATTATTAACTTGTCCAGCCTAGACAAAATATTTAATAAATTTAATAATTTAATAAATCTTTCCATAAGATTAGAAAAAAAAGTATAATGATATCTGACAGTGATTAAAATCACTATCAAAAAAAAAAAACACTTCGATGCAAATCTTTAGATAGTGTTTAATTTTAAAAAATTGGTGTATTATTCCAAAAGCTACATGATCTGCTAGGTCCTTATTAATATCCTGATTAAGATAATGTACGTCGAATGAAAAAGGGATTATTAAAAATATTATTTCTCATAAAAAAAATTGTGTTGATCCATACACTTTTCAATAAGTTATAGCATTATAAAGTTAAGAATGTAAAATATAAAATCGAGAATTTTCACACAAAAATAGCATTTGGTAGCCATTTTCACCGTGAAGACAAAGTCCGAATTTTTTTTCCATAATAAAGTATATTACATTTTCATTAATTTAAGATATATATAAAAATGTCAGTATTTCCGGAATATTTTCTAAAGTTAAGTTGAAAAAGTTAATTTTTTGTGAAAAAGTCATTTTGAATCCCTCCCTGTGGGCAGGTAAAAGGTTAGATATAAAAAAAAAATATACCAAATGGTAGGTAAAAACATGTATAAAAAATAATTATATTAATTTGTTCATTTTTGAAAAAGTTATGACAGTTTTAAGTAAAAAAAAATTGAAAAAATGTCGAAAATTAGCGAATTTTAAATTTGTAATTTTTTTGGAGATTTCCCCCATTTACGGGGAACGAGGGAAATTTTTTTCAATTTTTGAGGGTAATGTCTTCGACTAGATACGATTTGTGATCTTTGACATATCGTTGAAAGAAATAGGTTCGGTGAGAGCTAAGATAAAGTGGTAACAGACACAAAAAAAAACTAAATAAATAAAAAAAAAACACATCATAGTAAAATTAATGCCTTCTCAGCTTCGCATCGAAGCTAAAATTATTTATAGTGACATAAATATTATATGGTAAAAATAATTTTGGGAATATTTTTGTAGTAACACGTAAAATTAATAACAGAACTATAACAAAATTTTTAGAATGGGAATACGAAAATTTAAAATATATAATTTTTTTAATAATTTATGTAATATTTGTTTAAAAAAGTATAAAATATAACAATAATAAATTAAAAAATTTGATGTTATAAAATATATTAACTAAAATATTATCCACAAAGACTTTTCCATTGCTACAAATTTTAAGCTCCATTGTGCCTTATCACATATTTCGTCCAATTGAAACTAAACGAAATATCTTATATTTTTTTATACTCTTTTATTGTAAATTTTTTTTTTTTTTTAACGCTTTATAAGCCCTTTAAAGGCCATAGCTGCCTCCCTCAAAGGAGGAAGTTTCTACTTGATACTCCGGGACAGTTGGTTAGTCCATCGCTGGAGAAATGGATGGCGACTTCAATTATCAAACTGATCTCTCGTTCGGCAAATGTAGCCATCCGTGACTTAGTGCTCGTCAAGCACTGCCGCGTTACCGACTCCGGCCACACCGTCCATCTCTTTTATTGTACATAAATTGTTTAAATAAAATATCATTTTATGATATGTTTAAAATTAGAAGCATGCATATGTGAAATAGGATCAAAACTATCAAACGGTAGTAAAAAATTATTTTGTGTATTCTATTTCCCTGAAAAAACTGTATTAATTAAAATTATTTTAAAATTTTTAAGGTTAATGTCTTCAACTAGATACGATTTGTGATATTTTGACGAATGGTTGAAAGAAATCGATTCAGTAAGAGCTGAGAAAAAGTGGCTACAGACATAAAAAATAACACATTATGGTAAAATTAATACCTTCTCAGCTTCGCATCCAAGCAAAAAAAAATTATAATTATTATATTTATAGTAAAAATTGATTTTTAATGAAGTTATTTTTAGTTTTCAAAAAATATCAAATATAGTGACAAAACAAATTAAATACTGAGGGGGTATTTATACTATCTAGTAGTTTATAACAAATATATATTTATGAAAGTTATCCTAAAAATGTATCTAATTTTTTAAAATGTTTACATATGTATCCATGTCTTCAGTTTTGGACTAATGTTTCGAACTTGTTGCTGAGCCCATCTTTGGAATGCTAGTTACAAATTCGTGGTTGTAATTATACTGTCGGCTTGCCTTGTTTGTTTTTATATTAACTGATAACTGATAACGTCAATATTGATTATCTATTGTTGTTTTTTTCGTATTGTTGTTGATAATAACATACCTACACGACAACAACAACTTTAACATGTTTAATTGTTTAACAATTTAACTTACTAAACAGTGGATAAAGATAAAAATATATTTTTTCAATTAAATTTTTGCTTATTTTATTTTAAATAACTCTGTATTCTGCACAAATATAGTACAAGACATTATTTTAATAATTCCTGCTGATATGGGAATGGTATTGATTCAGTTATACTTTGATTATCTTCATCTGACATAAAAATACGAATCTTAAGGTTACCTAAAATAAATAAAAAATTTAAATAAAATTTATTTTGTACTCTAATCTATTTTTATAAATCTATACCCAGAATTGGGTAACTAGATGTTAATAAAATTATTATCTTGTTTATCTAGAATTTGTTTTTCAAACTTTTGTAAAACTTTTACTGGCGTCTTGAAAATTTCAATTATTTTTTAGCTTCGATGCGAAGCGGAGAAGGTATTTTTTTACTATGATGTGTTTTTTTTTTTTTTTAGCTTCGATGCGAAGCTGAGAAGGTATTAATTTTACCAT